TATTTTTTAGGAATTAGAGGCCTGGAATGGTGGCATCCTCTAGAAGGAGGAAACTTTAAAATTTCTAGTCCACACTTTTAGCGTTTTGTTTTTCAAAATTTGGTCCCTTTGTGGGGGAGGTACCAGAACGAATGCTCCGATCTCTACTATCGTTAAAACAGAACTTGTGTTGATAGAAATATTGAAATGTGCCAAGTCTGAATGGGATCGAATGTTAATTTCGCGTTTTATGAGATTCACAAGTATTCAATATTTTGACCCTTCGTGCGGGAGGTACCAGAAGGATTGGATCGATATATCCCATCTTGACACCAGACCTTGGGTTAATTAAAATATTGTGATGTGTGTAATTTGAAGACAATCGGACTTTTACATCCCATTTTATAAGATTTATAATTATTCAAAGTTTTGACCCTTTGTGGGGGAGGTACTTAATGGAGTGGACCGATGATTTCCATTTTCGCACTTGACCTAGCACTGATGCAAATATTAGGATTTGTGATATTGGAGCAAAATCGGTTCAACCTTTCTCTTTCAGTGCAGTAAAATATATATATTTTTTTTTGAAAATTTCGATTTTATGGGGTAGGTACCAGTAGAAGTGGACCGCTATTGCCCATCTCCGAGCTCGATCTAAGTTTGACCATAATATTACGATGTACCAAGTTTGGACCAAATCGGATACTCCCTTCGAGAGTTATCGTCCGCACCAGCCAGACAAACGAAGTGACGGACGGACATCGTTAGATCGACTCCAAGTGTCCAAAAGTGACCTAGGATTTGGTCCAAAGTGACCGTTATTTCGATGAGGCACGTTTTGGTCGTATCAAATGATATATACCCTCTCGAGCCATATGGTTGAGGGTATAAAAATATATAAAATAACTGGCCCTTAGCTATCGATTTAATCACCCTCTTTCCTTAAAAATTCCTTAAACTAATGAAAAGGCTTTATATTTTGCCAATCTTTCGCATAATTAAATGGCGTTCTAAGGTAATTGTTCTGAACCGGTCTGTTTGTTTTGTAGATCTTTGATCTAAAATTTATGCTAATTGAAATAGAACAGAACGTGTTGTAGAACAACAAAAAATTTATTGAAATTCCATGAAATATTAGGTATTCACACGTTCAAATTATCCAAAGATGTTGCTACCTAATAACAATTTAGAATATTGAATTTCAATATTTAAGAAAAAATTCAAAAAATCTTAAATAAACAAAATGTGTGACATTATGTGAACGTTCACTGCATCAAAAGATTAATAAAATGATTGGGTTTGAAAATGGAAACAATGTAAAATTGGTGTCAATGATTTTTTTGGGGCATTAAACATTTTGTTATTATTCCCCAGCATTTTTGTGACATTTACGGAAAATGAAAATAAAGTTTAAAAGTGTCAGTCATAATTTATGAGTATTAAAAGCTCCACATTTAGAATGCAATAATTTTTCTTGGGAAATTAAAATTAATTTGTTTTAAAGAAAATTTATTTTGTCCCTTAGATTTTATTATTTTTTATATATGATTTTCAACATCTTAATTTTTCAAGTTGTACAAAATACTTTGTACATACTTTTGAGTGAGATTGAGGCGCTGGGAAAATCCAACAATTAAAAATAAATATTTCCAAATTATCAGTTTCCCAGCGGTCATAAAATATCACATGTGTAGAATTAAGTGATCTTGTGCGCTGTCGCATACGATAATGTGTAAGATAATAAAGGTCATGACCCACACACACAGTATCGATGCGTACAGTGGATAGCCAAGACCACTTGAATGAAGGGACAAGCACCCATGCAATGTTTCTTTTAAATCTAATAATAGATAAGAACAATTGTGTGGCTGCGACTAGGTTAAGTTAGATTAGTTTCAGTAGTACGTAAGGAACATATTTTAAAAATAAAATTAGAATTGAATCAACAGCCCTACGATACGGTCGTGTTTTCTCTTCTCCCGCTTACACAAGTATTATCGCATATAGATTTGCTTCTGCTCATGGACAAAATAATGACTTCGCCAGAAAAATTCCGGTCTTTTTTGTTTAAAAAATATTTGCATTTTGTCAACAGGGCTGGTTTTTTTTTTATTCTTTAAGTTCGTTTAACACTCTTCTTGTGATCGGCATGCAAATGCATTTTTTAATTTAACGGCTGCTGCCGTCACTGTGTTGATCTTCACTTGACTTGATTTGTTATAATGATGGACAAATGAGATAAAACCAAAGTTAAATAAAACAAGTAAAAAAAAACATTAAGTTAGGCAATGCCGAACTTTCAATACCCTCCACCATTTCGAAGGAAATTGAAAAATTCCAAAAAACCTATGCATGTATGCAAAATTTTAGCTTTCTATCTCAATTCGTTCGAAAGATAGCGTGATAACAACAGACAGGCGGACAGACAGACAGACAGACAGACGGACTGCGCTAGATCGTACGCTGATCCAGAATATATACACTTTGTAGGGTCTATTATGAATATTTCAAGGAGTTACAAACAGAATGACAAACTTAATATAGCCTCTATAGAATGGTGGAGGGTATAACAAAAATCATTTCCAAAAATCCGAAATGTTGAAAGCACTATGGTTACTAAGCTCCCCATATCATGCTGGGAAATAAAGGCAATTTGTATATGAGAAAGAAAGTTCTCTTATTACAAGCAATTTCACAAGCAAAAACATTTTTATTTGGAAAATAGCAATTTTTTGAAACATTTTTAGAAAAAACAAGTAAAAAAGCTGTAAGTTCGGCCGGGCCGAACTTTGAATACCCTCCACCATTTGGAACGAATTAGAAAATTTTCAAAAAAATTAAATCCAATAAAAATTCTTTTAAAATATTTAATATAGGAAGGTGCCGATATATGGGGGGCTATACGATATTGTGAACCTATAAAGATAATTCTCTACCGAGGTATAAAGTACCCACAAGGAACTCCTTATGTGGATTTTCAGACAATTCCGTTGAAAAATGTGGGTAAAATCATCAAAATACCGAATATCGGGGGGGTACCGTTATATGGGGGTTGTACGACATTGTGGACCTATATAGATAATTCTCTGCCGAGGTATAAAGTACCCACAATGTACTCCTTATGTGGATTTTCAGACAATTCCGTTGAAAAATGTGGGTAAAATCATCAAAATACCGAATATCGGGGGGGGGGGGGGGTACCGTTATATGGGGGATATACGATATCGTGGACCTATATAGACAATTCTTTTTGAGCAGGTAAAATACACACAAGGGACTATTTGTGTGGATTTTAAGACAATTCCATTGAAAAATATGGCTAAAATCATCAAAATGCCGAATACCGGGGGGTACCGTTATATGGAGGCTATACGATATTGTGGACCTATATAGATAATTCTCTGCCGAGTTATAAAGTACCCACAAGGAACTACTTGTGTGGATTTTCAGACAATTCCATTGAAAAATGTGGCTAACATCATCAAAATACCGAATATCGGGGGTACCGTTATATGGGGGCTATACAACGATATAGCCCATCTTCGAACTTGACCTGCCTGCAGACAAAAGAGAGATCTGTGCAAAGTTTTAGCTTCCTATCTTAATTCGTTTAGACTGTAGCGTGATTACAACAGACGGACAGACGTACGGACAGGGCTAAATCGTCTTAGAATTTTACGCTGATCAAGAATATATATACTTTGTTGGGTCTAAAATGATTATTTCGATGAGTTACAAACGGAATGACGAACTTAATATACCCTCCATACCTTTTTTGGTGGAGGGTATAAAAATGCAAAAATTAGAAATTCTTCTTTTCAGTACATTATTATATCCTCAGTCTTATGGCTAGAGAGGGTATATATCATTTAATACGACCAAAAGGTGCCTCTTCGAAATAATGATTTTAAACCCTAGGTCTCTTTGGATCAAATCCGTAGTAGGTAGTATACGATTTGGTCCTAACTTGGTACATCGTACTATTATTATTAAACATAGAACTTAGATCGAGTTCGGATATGGGCAATATCGGTCCACTCCTTCTGGTACCTCCCCCAATTTTCAAAGAAAATATTTTACTGTACAGAAAGGGAAAGGATAATCCGATTTTGCTCCAACTTTGCGAATCCTAATATTTTGATCAGTGCTACATCAGGTGCAAAAATGGACAATATCGGTCCACTCCCTCAGGTACCTCCCCCATAAATGGTCAACATTTTGAATAATTACAACTCTCATAAAATGTGATGTAAGGGTCCGATTGTCTTCAAATTTCACACATCACAATAATTTTATTAACCCAAGGTTTGGTGCGAAGTTGAAATACATCGGTCCACTCCTTCTGGTACCTCCCCCACAAAAGGTCGAAATTTTCAAAAAATATATTTTTTGCACAAAAAGAGACAGCTGTGTACATCGGTTCACACCTTCTGGTACCTCCCCACAAAAGGTCGAAATTTTCAAAAACTATATTTTTTGCACAAAAAGAGAAAGGATGACAGCAGTCTGAAGTTGGTTGCAATTTTTTCATCTCACCCTGTAGATGGAAACCCATAAATACGAGTGAGTGGGACCTAGTGGAATGCGAGCTATGTAAAGTTAAGGTGCTGTGTGCGAATTATTGAATAAATCATTGTAAGACTCGTAATGTAAACGATGGAAACAGCGTCAGAAATTTCAGAACACAAAAAGCTTTCTTGAACAAAATATGGAAAATTTTCGTGGTTTGGAGATCATTTCAACTAGAATCCAAATTGAATGTGTCTTTGCTTTCAACCTTAGAAATATTTTGGATCCCTTGGAAATCCTGTGTTCCGCTCTATATTTAATATTTCGACAAAAATATCTTTTCCGAAAAAAGCTGACAATTTTAATTTTTTTTATTTTACTTTCAAATTTTAACTTTAAATTTTGTTACACACTCATCGACAAGTCACCAGTGCCGGATTTGAATTAGCAATTGATTTGCAGGATCGCACTTGTATATAACAATTATACGGAACGTACCTAACGATCAGTCTTCATTTAATCGTGTTCGGAATCAAAAGCTTAAAAATTAATTTTAACGGTGTTTGTTTTTTCTTTTTTCGATTGGATAATTTTTTTTGCGTCGGTATATAAAAATGTGATGAAGTGGAATTTTATTAATTGAATCAAAAAAATAATAAATAATTAGAAATTTTTACCAAATAGTACATAATTACAAAATAATTCTAAATAGGTCAAAACAAGTACAAAAACAAAATGGCTATTAAACATAAAGGTGATAAAGGTGATTTAAAAAATAAATCTAATAAAAATATCTCTTTAAAATAATAATAATAATAATAATAATAATAATAATAATAATAATAATAATAATAATAATAATAATAATAATAATAATAATAATAATAATAATAAATAAATAATGTGAAACATGTGTTTGTGTTAATTTAATACTTCTTTTTCTTCCCCCCAATCCCCCTAACGCAGATAAATATGATAGTAGCAAATATCAATATGATCTAAAAACGCCAGCCGATTTTGAAACTGCCATCACAGCAACTGGATTCGGTTGGTTCAATATTTTATTGCTGCTGGTCGGCTGTCCGGCGGCTATTGCTTCAGTATTTGAGACTGCAGTTGTTTCGTATGTTCTGCCCAGTGCCGAATGTGATTTGGGTTTGAATTTATTGAATAAAGGCATTCTAAATGCTATGACTTATTCAGGTGAGAAAGCGATTCGATAATAAAATTTATTAACACAAAATAGACAAAAAACTAGCCCGCAGATGGTTATAATTCCCAGACACATTAATGACAGTTAGTTGTTGCTGTTGCCTGTTTTGCATTCTTATTAACTATTCATTTCGGCCAAAAATGCTAGACGAAATATTTGTTGGTCTCCAAATGCAGTCGAGTGTAGACAGCATTAAAGAATATTTAATTGAATTTTTATGTTCGAAATTATTAATATTTAAACTTGTTATTTGAGCAATATTTGTCTTAAGACCCAAGGGGAGCCCATGCCAATTCTTTCACTTAGCAACGTCGTTATATGTTTTCAATATTTTTACTTCGCAAATCAAGGTTCATTTTAGCAAATATGTTTATTTTCTTTATTACAAATATATTGAAGCATGTCCGTTTATTGAAATCAATAAATTTCGGCATAGGTGTTTGTGGTATAACTAGGATTTTGGAAATCGGGTTTCTCCTGATTTTCGGCATATCCAACCAAATAAGCTGTCTATATTTCCGTTTATTTCCTATGAAAGTTCTCTCCTCTCAAAAAAAAATGGTAATGGCTAATGACCACGTCGTATATATCCCAATATAACGGCAATATGGATTTTATTTTTTGAAAATTTCAAAAGTCGTTCCAAATGTTGGAAGGTATTCAAAGTTCGTCTGTTCGAACTTGCTGTTTTTTAACTTGTTTCTCTCTATTTCAATGAAATTTAAAATGTGTTACGGAATTTAAAACAAACATAAATTTGTAAAATTATATTAAAATCGGTTCAGGTTTGGATTCACATATCTTATGCACCAAACACGATTGTGTGTTCGAATCCAATGAAATACAGAATATGTGGTGGAATTTGGACAAAACTAAATTTTCCAAATTATATTGAAATTGGTTGAGGTTTGAATATACCACCCATATATATTTTCGATTGATTTCCTATATTTCTGTGCACCAAATACGCTATAATCTCCAATTTCAATGAAATATGGAAGGTGTGACGGAATTTGTGCAATTTTTTTCGCGTTATATTGAAATCGGTTCAGATTGGGATAAGGTTATGCAATGGTATTAGGCTAACAGTAAAAAACTACACAACAATTTAATTAAGGATACGATTATTACGGGGAAGTATGTTGCTACCTCGAATTCTCTAATTGCAACAAAAATGCCACTCAACTTCAAAGGATTGCAGTTTCCTACTCGCTTGGCTTTTGCGATGAAATTAATAAATCTGAAGGACAAACACTTAGTGTATGCGGACTAAATTCAGCAAGTTTCTGCTTTTCTCATGGTCAGCTGTTCCTGGCAGGTTTACGCTTTGGTAGACCGAGTGATTTTTTGCTTACATACAGGGAGAGATGAAAAAACTGTAACCAACTTCAGACTGTAGTCATTTGTAAGACACTCGTCCGACAGTTGTTAAAATTATTCCAGTAACAGCTCAATATATTGTTTACAAGCGCACAAAAGCATTTTGGTGAGAACTTTCCAGAAAAAAAGTTATTCGTGATGGGGTTCAAGCACAGGTGTTAAAGTGGATGGAAGAAAACAGAAACATCAGCAGAAATGGTTCGAAAAGAAAAGAAGCGACTTGATCGAAACCCGCGCCGCAGTGGCCGAAAAATGGCTCGTGAGCTGAACAAATCGCAATATTCCACTCGGCAAATATTGAAAAATGAGCTCGGGGTAAAGTCATAGAAATTCAAAAAAGTGCCAAAACTTACGCAGTAACAAAAAGAAAATAGACTCAAAAGAGCTAAAGAGTTGCTTCGCTTTGCCGAAAGTGGTGATCTGCCGAATTTGGCCTAAAGTTGTGAACTGTCGAATTTGTCCAGCAGTTAGTAAACAAACAAAATGATCCTGTTTACTTGCCAAAGAAGTCAGCTGTAAATGTGCACCTTCGATTGGTCATGGTGATGGTGTGGGCCGCCATAACACCCGATGGTCGCTCTCCGCTCTTATTAATCGACCATGGCATTTATTCTGATGCCGAATATTATCGCGAAAATATTCTGAGGATCTATTAAAGCTTTGGGCTCGCAAAAAATGACCACCAAAATCTCCGGATACCAATCCGTTGGACTATTGTGTCTGATCTCCAAAGTGTCGATCACCTCAACCAAGCGCTTCGCCGGGAATGGGCGAAAATACCCCAGAGCAACATTCGTTTGAAGACCATAATTCGTGCCAAATGTGACCAATTCGAACAAATCTAAACTTTTTTTAAAATTTGATGCCATTGTCGTCATTTGTTGCTTTCATTCAATAAATGTAAAATTGTGGTGTTTGACTTTGTTGCAGTTTTTTTTATCTCACCCTGTATATATAAAGTTACCATATATATGTTTCATTCGATCTTATATCTAAGTCATCCCAATCCGTTTTATACACTCCATAACAAGCATTTCCGGTACAAGGTATTAGGTATTTAAGTATTCTGAAAGTCGAGAGGTCACATGCAACATAAATTTACATCAGTCAAGTTTAGTGGAAACCGATTTAGTTCTAGCTTTTATAGGATATTTTTAACATATTTCAAAATTTAACCGTTCTATAGCCATAATAAGAAATTCATATCAAAATTTTCAATATGAACGTTTTTGTTACACTTTAATTCTAATAAATATTCATAGTGGAGTTGGCTATCATAAAGTCGGCATCGCCCGACTTTACTCTGTCCATACTGGTTATTTTAAAATTGTAAAGTGTCTAGAAAACCCCGTCGGTTTAAATTTTCAATTCCATTGCATATACTTCAAATAAATCTTCATAAATAAGGTTAACCCCAGAAGAGCTCTAACGTAAATATGTCTTTAGTTTCGGAAATTATTTGGACTGCTTAAGTGTGTAAAAAAAATCTAAATAATTATTTTCAAGCATCGAAAGTTAAATAAATAATTCTATCGCATGGGGTTTTCGATTCTTATTCTATGAAATTGCGAATTTCATTTTGTTTTAAACAAGAATCCAGTCCCTGGAGTAACTATTACTCTAATAGTTAATGTCACATGCTTGAAGAAATCTTGTTTGTAGATACAACTTTTATTTTCAATGAAGTTTTATATTGTTTGTCAAAAAAGAGCAAAAATCAATATCAAGACGTACATTGCTCGCTTATCGAATTAAAAATTGAAGTTCGTTGGCCCTGGATTAACTGGCGATATTCAAGGTAAATTTAAGCGGTTTCACCAGAAAAACAACAGTTAAAATTGCATTGACATTTGAAATGTTTGAATTTCTTTTATTTGAAAAATGCATTAAGGCGCAATAGCAACAGCATAGTTTCAGTAAATTGGTGTCTGGGTAATTTATTGAAATAATTTTAAGACACAATAAATTAATAAAAATTATTTTTTTTATCGAAATTCCAGGAATGATCATCTCAGCCATTGCATGGGGCTACATAGCAGATACAAGAGGTCGAAAATCCATTTTAGTTTGGGGATTGCTGGCCGATGTGGTTTGTGTTCTCTCCTGTGCCATGAGTCAAAGTATTATTCAACTGATGATCGCCAAGTTTATTGGTGGTTTAGTGTAAGTTTATAGGAATTCAATGTAATTAAATTGGAATTTCGAAGTTTTTTTTTTATTTTCATAATAAATACCTCTATATACTGGATATATTCTGAAAATAAACACCTGTACTGTGCAGGATGAGATAAAAAAACTGTACTATACAGGGTGAGATAAAAAAAAACTGCAACAATGTCAAACGCCATAATTTTTACATCTTTTTAAATTTCATTGAATGAAAGCAAAAACTGTCGAAAATAACACCAAATTTTAGAATAAGTTTAGATTCGTTCGAATTTGTCTCCTTTGGCACGAATTGTGGCCTTCAAACGGCCAATTAAAACCGTCACACACTGCACGAACGTTGCTCTGCGGTATTTTGGCCCATTCCCGGCGAAGTGCTTGCTTGAGGTGATCGACACTTTGGTATTTTTTAGTGTCAACCTTGCTTTCCAAAATACTCCAGACACAATAGTCCAACGGATTGGTATCCGGAGATTTTGGTGGGCATTGTGAGCTGGAAATGAAGCGAGGAACCTCATTTTGTAACCATTCTTGGGTGGCGCTTGCTGAGTCCTGTTGAAATGTCCAAGGTCTGCGGCCAAAATGTTTGCGTGCCCAAGACTTTAATACACCCTTCAGAATATTTTTGCGATAATATTCGGCATATTCTGATGCCACGGATATTACGGATTAATACGAGCGGAGATCTACCATCGGCCTTTATGGCGGCCCACAGCATCACCGTGCGGCGCTTGAGTTCTGCTGGCTAACCGAAGGTGCACATTTTCAGCTGACCTCTTTGGCGAGTAAACAAATTCGGCAGTTCACCACTTTCGGCCAAGCGAAGCAACTCTTTGGCTCTTTTGATCTGTTATCTATTCCTTCTGTTGTGGTGTAATTTTTTGCACTTTTTGGAATTTCAATGGCTTTACCCCGAGTTCATATTTCAATATTTGCCGAATGGAATATATAGCCATATCCGGCCACTGATCCACGGGTTTACTTTCTGAACCATTTCTGCTGATGTTGCTGTTTTCTTCCGTCCACTTCCTTGACGTCGGGCTACGCTACCAGTATCACGGTAACGAGCGATGTTACGAGACACAACAGATATATTCGAATTAAAATGCTGGAGTGCTTTAACGATAACCACTTGTGGTTTTCCAGCCAAATATAAAGAAATCACACTATCACGCTTGAATTCCACCGCGAATGACATTTTTTTCTGGAAAATTCTCACCAAAATGCTTTTGTACGTTTGTAAACAATATAAAGAGCTGTCACTGGAATAATTTTAACAGCTGTCGGACGAGTGGCTTAGAAATGACAGCAGTCTGAAGTTAGTTGCAGTTTTTTCATCTCACCCTGAGTACTGAGCTTTTAGGGCAAAGACCAGAGAAAATATGACACCTAATTAAACTCCCTTCTTTTCCCACAAAATTAACTTTTCTTTGCGGGTACCAGTACAAAATTAAAAAATAAAATATTGTTTTGAACTTTCAATGTCGAAAAAAATATTTTCCTAAAAATATTTTTTCCTATAGCATGGGTGGTCCATTTGCCGTTCTGATGACATACCTGCAGGAGTTTCACAATAACAAATATCGAGGCAGAGTAATGATGTGCATCGGCATTATGTTTTCAATGGCCTCGCTGTCAATGCCTGTTTTGGCATTGATGATTCTGCCACAAAAATGGGAATTTAATATTTTTAACATGGAATGTAAGAGTCGACACATGAACAGACATTTATTATTACAAACTAAAAATTGCAATATTTTTTATAGTTCACTCATGGCAAGTATATTTAGCCATATGTGCCATACCCAGTCTTGTAAGCGGTTTGGCTTTAAGCTTATTCCCCGAAAGTCCAAGATTCCTGATGTCCCAAGGACGTACAGCGGAAGCATTACAGGCATTTCGTACTATATACTCCCTGAACAAAGGCAAGCCGAAGGACACATTTCCGGTAAGTGGAGGATGAATGTTATGTTTTTAAGGCACTTAAACATATCAAATTTCCCATAGATAACAAAACTGCTAGACGAAATATCACCCGAAGAAAATGATGTCAACTATGAGGAAATCAGTATATCAACGATTGAGACGACCTCGGTGAAAGATCAAGTTAAGGACATTGTTGATGATTTCAAAACCAAAGATCCAAGTCCATTTTTAGCACTGTTCCAGAAACCATTCTTATGGCTGTCCATAAATGTTTATATGCTGAACTTTTGCATATTGCTGGGGTAAGTGGAAAATAAATGAATTAATGAGTAAAAAATCAGTTATACAGACATTCGGTATTCGAAATTTATATATTATTTCCGAGGATCATAAATGACAAAAAAAAAACTATTCATTTAAAACCGCAAATTTACTTAAAAATAGTTCCTAATGGGTACTACATCCTACGACAGAAAATTGTATATACAGGCCCAGGCCTTTAGATAGCCCCCATATAATGCTACCACCCTATATTCGGTATTATGATGATTTTAGCGGCATTTTTCTCCGGAATTGTATCAAATTTCGTATTTGAAGATCTTAACAGCTCATATGGCAAAAAATTGCATATGCAGGCCCAGGTCTTCGGAAAGCCCCAATATAACGGTACATAACTATATTCGGTATCATGATGATTTTAGCGAATTGTTTCAAGTTTTGATTTGAATATCGTAATGGGCTATGACGAAAATAGGTCCAATACAACGGTTACTCTAAATTTTCTGTGTTTTTATGATTTTAGCAGTATTTTTCAACGGATTTTTTTACTTGTTTGAATTAATTTAAATATTAAAACACTTTTTTTAGGCAAAATACAATGCGTTTATGGCTGCCACAATTGTTCGCTTCTTTGCGGGAATTCCAGGAGATTTCTATGGAGTCAGTCGAGCACAGCATGTGTTCCATACTGGAGTATAGTGTTAATAAGACGGGATTGGTCAAGGAAACAGATTCCAGTTGTTCGGTGGTAAGTAGAACTTACCATTTATCGAAATCCCAACAAAAAACTATAGTTCTTTTTTTAATTTTTTGTAGATAATTTCATCTTCCTCATATACCAACAATATAATTGTGGCTGGAGCCTGTTTTGCGGTATTTCTTGTGGCAGGAACACTAATCAATAAACTTGGACACAAGAGGATACAAAGTATGTTACAGTGATATTGTATTGGAAATATGATAAATTACATAACTACTTTGTTTCAGTTGGGGCCTTAATCATTGCTGGCATTTGCGGTTTTGCCTTGTACTGGTCCAGCACAACAGCATCGACTTTGGTGATAACAGCATTATATGCCTGTATGGGCAGCTTATCAGCCACATCGGCTGTGGGGACATCAGCATTGCTGTTTCCAACGTCCTTGAGGTAATTTGTCATATTTAAAGGTTAAAATACTAAATATTTGGTGTATAAGGAAAATATTTCTAAAAACGTAACTTTTCGGCAAAATCGGGTTGAAGACGGTCTCATGGTTCAAGGCTTATATAAGATCAGCCAAGGGGACTAGTATTGACACCAATTTTAAAAAGTATTTAGCAGTTTTTGTACTATTTTGATTTGACTTTTTTTTTGAATGTTTCATTATAATTTTGTCTTCTGACTGCAAACTTAGTTGTCAGATGAGCTCACTGGCTGACCTTATATGGGCCATGATATGGTCTTTTATTAAAACATTTTCCAATTTTTTAGTTTATTTTCTCACATAAATTTTGAACTTTTATACCCTTACCCATATGGCTTGAGAGGGTATATATCATTTGATACGGCCAAAACTCCTCCCCCACAAAAGGTCAAAATTTTCAAAGAAAATATTTTACTGCACAGAAAGAGAAAGGATAATCCGATTTTGCTACAATTTGCTATTTAGATCGAGTTCGGATATGGGTAATATCGGTCCACTCCATCTGGTAACTCCCCCACAAAAGTTCGAAATTTTCAAAGAAAAAAAAAATTTACTGCACAGAAATGAAAGGCTAATCCGATTTTGCTCCAACTTTGCAAATCCCAATATTTGCATCAGAGCTAGTACAGGTGCGAAAAAGGGCAAGTTCGGACCACTCCATCATGTACCTCCCCCACAATGGGTCAACATTTTGAATAATTATAACTCTTTTGAAATGTGAAATAAGCATCCGGTTCTCCTCCTATTTCATTCATCACATTATTTCTACAAACACAAGATCTGCTGTGAAGATGGAATATATCAGTGTACTCCTTCTGGTACCTCGCCCACGAAGGTACAACATTTTGAATATCAATTAAGCTCTTAAAACGCGAATTCAAATCCGATTTCATTCAGTCTTGGCGCATCGCAATATTTCTATCCACACAAGATCTGTTATAAAGATGGTAGAGATCGGACCATTCTTTCTGGTACAAGCCCCATAAAGGGTCAAAGTTTTGAATAACCAAAACTATTATAAAATCCGAAATGGACATCCCGTTATATTCTTACTTCACACATCCCATTATTTCCACTAATACAATATATGCTGTGAAGATGGGATATAACTCCTTCTGGTACCTCACCCACAAATTTATTATTTCGCATAAAATTGGATATAAATGTTCGATTTTCTTGTAATTTTGCACATGCCAGTATTTTAGGCTAGAGGTATGAAAATGGAATACTTCGGTCCTCTATATTTGGTATCTCACTCCCATTCTTATATTTTCTTAAAATTATCACAAATCTCATATAAAGTGAAGGAAGTAACCAATATAGTCCAAACGTCGCAATATTTATATCATATTTATTTAGGTCCGAAACGAAATGGCCAATATTGGTCCATTCCTTGGGAACCTACTCCATAGAGGGCCAACAATTTGAATTATCATAACATAAGTCAAAATACAATTAAATAATCGAAGATTGGCTGTCGCCAAAACCGACTGATATTCTTTTAACTTATTATAATTTTTGTTTTTTTTTTTTCAGAACAATGGTCGTCTGTGTGGCCCTAATGTTTGGACGTATTGGTTCCATATTTGGTAACATTCTGTTTCCTGTCTTCATGTCGTTTGGCTGTGTGCCACCATTTCTTATGGTGGGCGGTGTTATGTTTGGTAAGATATTAGCCATATTCTATTTATTATTTAATAATAAATAAAATTAATTATTTTTTCTTGCAGTCGCTTGCATTTTATCGGCAATGCTGCCCAACACTAAAAAGGCTGATCTCAAATAAATATTCCTATGTAATATATATAAAACAAATAATTAACCCTTAAATTGCTACCATAGTAGCATTGAGAAGATAACATCAGGCAATTTTCATGAATTTGCATTTTTTTTTTTGTCAAAACGATACATTTTAACACTTCCTCATGTCAAAATGTTTATTTACAAATCTATTGTATATACACAAAACAGGGATGGGAACCTGTTTTCAATGATGTTAAATTTGACAAGATAGACTCCAGAAAAATGCAGAGCTGGTTCTCAGTTCTCTTTCTATAAAAATGTGAAACAACATTTTTTATAAAAGGAAAGAATTGTCAAATGAATCATTTTATAAAGGAAATATTTTTCTTTTCTTATTTTTATAGAACTAGTATCCAGCCTCTGAATATTATTATCTTAAATGAGGTTACCTTGATTTACTACAATTAAATTCAAAATACTACAAAAATTTCGAATAAGTTGAAACTGAAAGCACTCATGTATGCACCCAGAGTGAAAGCTTGGCTGTCAAGTAAATTTTAGCTATGTATTATAAAAATATTAACTATTATAATTATATTATAACATTTTATGAATTTATATTGTTTTATAAATAGATGTTATGCGTTGCAATTTAATATTTGTGATATAATTAAGTAATAAACAAATTTTATTAAATAAAAAATATTTGTTTTTTATTCATGTGTGTTGAATGTCTCCCTGGCTGACTGATGAGTGACTGACTTAAACATGAACGAATAGATGAAACCGATAAGATATGACTAGGTTTTTGGACATTTTAACTAATTGGGTACATCTGCATCAGAACCTTTTTGTATAAAAGAATAAATTTGGAGTTCTAAAAGTACACTGTGCAACACGAAAATGCTCACAGAAAATGTGCAGCAGAATTTGAAAGAGGAGCTAAAAATAAAAAAACACTTGTTTCGGCGTTTTGAACGTTTACATCACAAAGTAACCTAAATATGGGGTGTAACTTACCCTCTCTACCAGATTTGTGGAGATTAGTTGGACTCGGGGTATTTTACGTATATTACAGATAAAAGTAAGAGGATTATTTTGATAAAAAATTGCCCTTAAGCGATGTGTAAAATACCAAGGGGGTCTTTTTAGTACTGCTTTAAGAAAACTTACCTGAAACGGGATCATAGCAAGTTAAAATACTTACTTGTCATACAATTCTACTATTTGTTTCAGAAGACATCAAGAGTGCTATATATTAACAAAAAAAAACATTTTAGTTCGGCCAAGTCGAGGGTATAATCCTCCACAATTTGGAAAGTAGCTCATGTGAACATATGTCTGTAAATGCCGAAATTCCAGCATTCGAGGGGTATGCGTCTCTTTTGTTATTGGGAAAATCCAATCCAAATTTCAAAAAATTCTGTATAAAAAGTGAGGATGGTGACGTTGACTCTAAATACGGAATTTCAAGCTTTCACATTAGAAAGTGTGGCTAAAACCCCAAAATATCTAATATGGGAAGGAACAAAAATTGGGGGTCTGTGCGAAAATGTTGACCAGTATAGCTCATCTTCGAACTTGACCTGACTACATATAAAAGACATTTCTATGCGAAATTTCCTATCTTCCTATCACATGCTGTTTGGACTATAGCATGATAACAACAGACGGACGGACATGGCAACATCTACTTAGAATTTTACGCTGATCAAGAATATGCAGGGTGAGATAAAAAAGTGCAACAAAGTCAAACGCCATAATTTTTACATTGTTTTTTTTTTTTTTTAAATTGTATTGAATGAAAGCAAAAAATGTCGGAAATAGCATCAAATTTTAGAATACGTTTAGATTTCTTCGAATTCGTTACCTTTGACACGAAGTATGGCCTTCAAACGGCCAAAGAAACCGTCACACGCTACCCGAATGTTGCTCTGCGGTATTTTGGCCCATTCCCGGCGAAGCGCTTGCTTGAGGTGATGGACATTTTGGTATTTTTTAGTGCCAGCATTGCTTTCCAAAATACTCCAGACACAACAGTCCAACTGATTGGTATCTGAAGATTTTGGTGGCCATTGTGCGCTGGAAATGAAACGAGGAGCCTCATTTTGTAACTATTCTTAGGTGACGCGTGCTGAGAGCGATGGTGCTGAGTCCTGTTGGAATTTCCAAGGTCTGTGGCCAAAATGTTTGCGTGCCCAAGACTTTAATACACCCTCCAGAATATTTTCGCGATAGCATTCGGTATTTACTCTGATGCCATGGTCGATTAATACGAGCGGAGAGCGACCACCGGCTGTTATTGTGGCCGACACCATCACCATGGCCGACGCTTGAGTTCTGGTGGCCAACCGAAGGTGCAGAGTTTCAGCTGACCTTTTGGCAAGTAAACACGATCATTTTCTTTGTTTACAAACATTCGTTTTCTCATCGGAGAAAACCAAAGCAACTCTTTTGCGTCTATTTTCTATCTGTTGCGGTGTAAGTTCTTGTACTTTTTGGAATTACAATGCCTTTACCCCGGTCTCATTTTTTATTATTTGCCGAATGGAATATTGTGATATGTTCAGCTCTTGAGCCATTTTTCGGCCACTGCGACGCGGGTTTCGATCAAGTCGCTTCTTAATTTTTCGAACTATTTCTGCTGATGTTGCTGTTTTTTCCGTCCACTTCCTTGACGTCTTGCTACACTACCAGTATCACGGCAACGAGCGATGGTACGATACACAAAAGATTTATTTACATTTAAATGCTGGAGTGCTCTAACGATAGCCACTTGTGGTTTTCCAAAAGTTTTTTTGGCTTTGAAATGACAGCAGTCTGAAGTTGATGCACTTTTTTCATCTCACCCTGCATAACGATACCCACCGATATTCGGTGTTTTGATAATCCTAGTCACATTTACCCACGCAACTGTTTCAAATTTGGTATTTAAGAAAATTTGGTAGATGACAATCCTTGAAGTATAAAATTGTCGATATTGGTTCCTGTTTAGGTATGGCCCCATATAACGACTTAACTCACTTTATGGTTTTTTGAAAAGTTGAACAGAATGATCCAAACAGTCTTATTGGCATTTGTAATTTAAAGTGGATAGTTTTTGAATTCAGATACTTTTATATAAAAATCTTTGCTTTACCTAGAGGTGAAAGGTTTTAAAAGTTCGGCCCGGCCGAACTTAATGTTTTTTTTACTTTTTTTTTCAAAACATCCAAATGACGTATGAAAAACTTAAACAAAACACGACAATATTTTGCAGTTTAAATCCGTATTTTAGTTGAGCTGGGTTTATCATAACGCTCAATTAGCAGTTGAAAATCCCACAATTGCTGATGTGATATGTGATTCATGGATATAGGGTCGTTGCTATATACTTAGGGATTTATGAATTTATACGACTTCAAAATCTAACACGCCTGGCACAATAGTTAAACAACAAGATTATCTTCCATTTGTTTTAAAGAGGAGATCCCACTACTATTTTTTTCGGAATAAAGAAAATGGTTCTATGTCGTCATTTTATAGTTGAAAAGACACTGAAAACCTTAGACAAAATAATAACAAAAGCTTCATTGCGAATATAAACAGTTAGTCTATCATTTAAAGGTGTTATAAAGACGATAAGAATCAGCAAACATACGAGTATATATGTCTTGATAAGCTCAATGCAAATAGTAACCACGGGTAAATTGATGCTAATGCAAAACAAACAAGGTAACTTTCCTGGGATGTGGGAGAGAAAAATTCAGATAACCCATCTTCTAAACTTCTTGTCGTACAATTGACGATCATTTCCAAATTTTTGCAAAAGAACACTCTCGCTATTGATGCCACAGAGGCAAGATAAATTTGCAAACAAATTTACTTAATTTATTATTAGGTATCTTTGCACAGCTTTCAGATTTTATGAATGAAGATAATGGAGGACATTGTCGCACGTCTCCGCTAAAATAAAAATAATGACTCCACAGGTTTCTTTGTTTTTCTTTGAATATATAACGCGGCGATTTGCTGAACAGTTAGTCGCAGAAATTTTAATGAAGCAGTTTAAATTTTGGTGAAAAGTGAACGTTTTCAACCAAAGTGATTTTTGGGAAATATGTGCGGATAAAAACAAGAGAAAATAGATAAAACATAATTTAGGTCAAATTTTATCATTTTAATCTTCGAAATCATCTACTACAGCTGCAAAATGTCGGAAGGTCCAGCAGACTTCGAAACCGCCATTAAAGCTTGCAGATTTGGCCGTTTTAATATTATCTTGTTGGTTGTGGCCTTGCCTGCCGTTATTGCACCTACACTCGAGACGGCGGTGGTTTCATACATCCTGCCCAGTGCTGAGTGTGACCTACATTTGGATTTATTAGATAAGGGGATTTTAAATGCCGTTACATATTGTGGTAAGAATGAAAGATTAGTGAGGGAGTCTAAAATTTACAAAAGACGTTCTAAAGACATCCTAGCTTCAGATGGTGTTTCATCTACAGAAAGAGGCTCCAGGAGGGTTTCTATGTATAGAAGAGCTTCAGAAGGTCTTCTGTATACAGAAAAGCTTTAGAAGGCCTTCTATGTATAGAAGAGCTTTAGAAGTTCTTTGGAAGTTCTACTATGTCTAGAAATGTTTCGAAAGGTCTTCTACAAAAGAGCTTCAGAAGGGCTTCTTCTATAGATCTTCCATCCATAGACTGAGGCTTCAGAATGTCTTCTATGTATAGAAGAACTTCAGAAGGATTAATCTATAGAATAGCTTTATAAGCTCTTTTATCTATAGAAGAGCTTCCGTAGGTATTCTATGTCCAGAAAAACTTCCAAAGGCCTTCTATGTCCAGAAGAGATTTCAAAGGTCTTCTATGTCCAGAAGAGCTTCTAACGGTCTTCTAGGTCTAGTATAGCTTCAATAGATCTTATTTGTATATAAGAGCTTCAGCAGGTCTTTTGAAGTCTCCGTAGGTCTCCTATGTATAGAAGAGCTTCTGTCTTCTATATCCAGTGGAGCTTCCAAAGATCTATGTCTAGAAAGGTCTTCTATGTCTAAAACAACATCGGAAAGTTCTCTATATCTAGAAGAGCTTCGAAAGATTTTCTATCTGTAGAAGATCTTCAGATGGTCTTCTGTGTACAGAAGAGGTCTTTTTCGCATAGAAGAACTTTCGGAGGTCTTTTTCGCATATAAGACCTTCCGGAGGTCTTCTATGTATAGAAGAGGTTTAGAAGATCTTCTAGGTCTAGAAGAGCTTCCGGAGGTCTTCTATGTATAGAAGTGCTTTTGAAGGTCTTCTATATATAAAAGAGCTTCCGGAAATCTTCTATGTATAGAAGAGCTTCGGGGGGTCTTCTATGTACAGAGCTTCCGGAGTTCTTCAATGTTTAAAAGAGCTTCCGGAGGTCTTCTATCTATAGAAGAGCTTCAGGGGGTCTTCTATCTATAGAAGAGCTCCCGGAGGTCTTATATCTATAGAAGGGCTCCCGGAGGTCTTCTATCTATAGAAGGACTCCTGGAGGTCTTCTATCTATAGAAGAGCTTCAGGGGGTCTTCTATCTATAGAAGAGCTTCAGGGGGTCTTCTATCTATAGAAGAGCTCCCGGAGGTCTTATATCTATAGAAGGGCTCCCGGAGGTCTTCTATCTACAGAAGGGCTCCCGGAGGTCTTCTATCTATAGAAGGACTCCCGGAGGTCTTATATCTATAGAAGGACTCCCGGAGGTCTTCTATCTATAGAAGGGTTCTTAGACGTCTTCTATCTATAGAAGGGCTCTTGGACGTCTTCTATCTATAGATCTTCTATTCTATCAATAGAAGAGCTTCCGGAGATCTTCTATGTATAGAAGAGCTTCCGGAGATCTTCTATTTATGGTAGAGCTTCAGGACTCTTCTACGTATGGAAGAGCTTCAGGAAGTTTTCAGGCCTCATTTGTAAATAATAATTTTATAAAGAATATATTTTTAAGGTATGATCTTGTCCGCCATTGGCTGGGGTTATTTGGCCGACAATAGAGGTCGTCGGAACTTGCTAATAATCGGCTATTTACTGGATGTTATTTGCGTTGCATGCTGTGCAATGAGTCAGAGTCGGGTCCAATTGATGATTGCAAAGTTTTTCGGTGGATTTATGTAAGTTTTTACTTTCGACAAATTTTTTTTGAATTTTGATCCTTACCTTTTTTCCAGAATGAGTGGTCCATTTGCAATACTAGTAGCTTATTTGTCGGAATTCCATGACAGCAATTTTCGTTCGCGTATTATGATGATGATTGGCGTCATGTTTACATTCGCTGCCATTATCCTGCCGGTGTTGGCCATTCTGATCTTACCACAAAATTGGAATTTCAATCTATTGAATATGAACTGTATGTATCTTAAAGCCGAGTGAGAAAGATGATATATTTTTTGGTGCTATGATTTGTAGTTGTTGCATGGAAAATATATTTGGCTATTTGTGGAATACCAAGCCTCTTGTGTGGCACATGCTTTTGTTTTCTGCCCGAGAGTCCACGTTTTCTCATATCCCAAGGTAGAAATGCTGAGGCCTTGGAGGTGTTGAAGAAAATATATGCCATTAATACAGGAAACCCTCGAGATACATATCCTGTATGTAGCGATTTCAAAGTAATTTATATTTATGTTGTATTTTTTGTAAATTTTCAGATTAAAGAGTTGATACAAGAAATCAAACAAAAGGAGGTTGCTGAGAAGAAACTAAGCATTGCAACCATTGAAACAAATAGAAAGAATGACGAGGGAAAGTTGGAGAATAATGGAGATGAAGTGAAAGATGGGACTCTACTGGATAAGCAGCCAAACATATTTAAAGCCTTGTGTTCGAAACAATATTTGGGTCTATGTTTTCAAGTTTGTTTCATAGAATTCCTCATAATGTTGGGGTAGGTCGATTTAAGATTTAGGGCCTATCTTTCACCCATTCCATGCGAGTTTTTCAAAATTTAAATGTATGCTTTAGCCAAGAAATTGAAAAAATACACATCGAATGGCTGGTATAGTAGGTCCGTAATTTTTTAATTTATCATTTTAATTTTTTAATTAATTTTATATAGACAAAACACCTTGCGTCTATGGTTACCCCAATTATTTGCTTCCCTCCACGAATATGAACAAATTTCCAATGAAAGTACCAGCATGTGCACTGTCTTAGAGTATAGTGTCAATAGAACGGAACTGCTCAAAAATACTCCTAGGGATGAGTGTGTTGTGGTGAGTTTATTTAATACCAATATTTAAAGTAACAAGTTAAACAAGTTAAACAAGTTAAAAACCAGTAAGTTCGGCCGAGCCGAACTTTGAATACCCTCCAACGAATTTGGAAATTTTCAAAAAACAATATCCGTTAAAAATTCTGTTAAAATGTTAAAAATACCGAATACAGCCGTTATATTGGGGTCTATATGACGTGGACCTACATAGGCTTTGTTTGTCATAAGCCATTACCATATTCAAATTCGAAACTTGAAATAAACGGTGAATAATGTAGCTGAAATCATCAAAATATCTTATATAGGGAAGTACCGTTATATCGGAGCTGTGCGAAGACCCTGACGTGCATAGACAATTTTCTGTCACAGGCTGTAACATCCATTACGAACTTCAAATACGACATCTCAAACAATTTCGGTGGGTATTGTACCTAAAATCGTCAAAATACCGAATATAGGGAGGTACTGATTTATAGGACCTATACGAAAACCTGGACCTCCATAGACAATTGTCTGTCACAGACTGTAATTAAGAACTCTAAACGCGTAATTTGAAGCTACTCCTGTGAAAAATGTCGCTAAAATCATCAAAATGCCGAATATAGGGAGGTACCATTATATGGGGGCTATATGAAGACGTGGACCTGCACAAAAAATTTTCTGTCTTAGGCTGTAGTATCCATTTCGAACTTCAAATACCAAATTTGAAACAATTCCGGTGAATAATGACGCTAAAATCATCAAAATACCGAATATCGGGAGGTTATATGGGGGCTATATGAAAACGTGGACCTATATGGCCCATTTACGAACTGGCAAAATAAACATGTGTGCAAAATTTTAGCCTTCTATCTCAATTCGTTCGAAAGATTGCGTGATTACAACGGACAGTCGGACAGACAGACGGACATCGCTAAATCGACTTAGAATTTTACGCTGATCAAGAATACATATACTTTGTTGGGTGTGACATGAGTATTTCGAGGAGTTACAAACGGAATGACAAAGTTAATATACCCTCCATAGTTTTGTGGAGGGTATAAAAATATCATTCGGTTTTGCCGACAGATGTATACCCTCAGCTATGATAGTTTATTAGGTACCAGATATAGTCGACTAAAGGCTGTGCAAATTTTCACGAAAATCAGACATCTATTACCAATTTTTATTGGAATAATTGTTTATTATAATTTTGCCCTTCTTTGGGGGAGGTACGAGAAGGTGTGAGTAGATAAGTCCCATATTAAATTCCATATTTCTAGATGGATCAAGTTTAAAAACAACCGCCGAATTGTTTCGCAAGTTATGAGCGATATAAATATTGAAAATTGTTACTCTTTGTGGGAAAGGTACCAGAAGGGGTAGGCCGATATATAACATCTTCTTGCGTTTGAAAAAGTATAGGAATACGCAAAATTTGATGAGAATCAGATGCATATTTCGCATTTTATAAGAGACATAAATATTCACCAGATGGTGTGGTCCGATATATGTCATCTTCACACATAATATTTTGTTTATAAAATTATTGAGAGGTGTTGAGTTTGAAAATAATCGGATGCTCGTTTCGCGTTCTATGAGCTTCATAGTTATCCAAAATTTAGACCCGTTGTCGGTAAGGTACCAGAAGTAGTGGAACGATATCTACCATCTTCACACCAAAGCTTGTGTTAATAGAAATACAGGGATGTGTGAAATTTTAGGACAATCGGATGCTTATTTCGCATTTTATGAGAGTTATTTCTATTCAAAATTTTGACCCCTTGTGGAAGGAAGGAATGGTTTATCTCTACCATCTTTATTACAGATCTTGTGTTGATAGAAATATTGAGATGTGATAAGTCTGAATGGAATCGGATATTAATTTAATTTTTTATGAACTCAAAATTATATGAACTCGAAATTTCGACCCTTTGTGGGGTGAGAAGTGGACCAATGTATTCAATGTTTACACTAGACTTTGGGTTAGTAAAAATATTGTGATGTATGTAATTTGGAGACAATCGATCTCTTACATCACATTTTATATTTATGTGGTGGAGGTACTTGATGGAGTGGACCGATATTGTGCATTTTCTCACCTGAACTATCACTGATGCAAATATTAGAATTTGCAAAGTTAGAGCAAATTCGATTATTCTTTATCTTTCTGTGCAGTAAATTATTTTCTTTGAGAATATTGACATTTTGTATGGGAGGTACCAGAAGGTGTTGACCGATATTGCCCATCTCCGAACTCGAACTAAGTTTGACAAAAATATTACGATGTCCCAAGTTTGGACCAAATCGGATACTCCGTTCGAAAGTTATCGTGCGCACCAGCCAGCCAGGCAGACGGATGGACGGACGTCACTGATCGATTCCTAATGTCCTAAACTGGTTTGGTCCAAAGAGACCTAGGGTCTAAAACGGTTATTTCGATGAGGCACGTTTTGGCCGTATCAAATGATGTATACCCTCTCTAGCCATATGGCTGAGGGTATAAAAACACATATCACAAAGAGTTTAGATTTGTTCGAATTGGTCACCTTTGGCACGAATTACGGCCAATGAAACCGTCACACGCTGCCTGAATGTTGCTCTGCGGTATTTTGGCCCATTCCCGGCGAAGCACTTGCTCGAGGTGACCGACACTTTGCCATTTTTTAGTGCCAATCTCACTCTTAAAGATACTCCAGACACAATGGTCCAACGGATTGGTATCCGGATATGTTGGTGGTCACTGTACGCTTGAAATGAAGCGAGGAACCTCAATTTGTAACCATTCTTGGGCGGCGCGTGCTGAGCGCGACGATGCTGAGTCCTGTTGGAATGTCCAAGGTCTGCGGCCAAAATGTTTGGGTGCCCAAGGCTTTAGTACACCCTCCAAAATATTTTCGCGACAATAATCGGCAATCGGAGAGCGACCATCGGCTGTTATGGCGGCCCATACCATCACCATGGCTGGCGCTTGAGTTCTGGTGGCCAACGGAAGGTGTGCATTTTCAGCTGACCTCTTTGGCAAATAAACACGATCGATAATTTTGTTTGTTTACAAATTGCTGGACAACGAATGTTTTCTCATCGGAAAAACCCAAATTCGGCAGTTCAACACTTTCGGCCAAGCGAAGCAACTCATTAGCTCTTTTGAGTCTATTTTCTTTCTGTTGCCGTGTAAGTTCTTGCACTTTTTGGAATTTTAATGGCTTTACCCCGAGCTCATTTTTCAATATTTGCCGCATGGAATATTGCGATATGTTAAGCTCACGAGCCAATTTTCGGCCACTGCCACGCGGTTTTCGATGAAGTCGCTTCTTTACTTTTCGAACTATTTATGCTGATTGTTGTTTTCTTCCGTTCACTTCCTTGACATCGGGTTACACTACCAGCATCACGATAACGAGCGATGCTACCAGAAACAAAAGATTTATTCACATTTAAATGCTGGAGTGCTCTAACGATAGCCACTTGTGGTTTTCCAATCAAATATAAAGAAATCACACTATCACGCTTGAATTCCATCTCGAATAACTTTCTTTCCGGGAAATTCTCACCAAAATGCTTTTGTACACTTGTAAACAATGTAATGAGCTATCACTGGAATAATTTTAACAGCTGTCGGACGAGATGCTTAGAAATGATAGCAGTTTGAAGTTGGTTGCATTTTTTTTTCATCTCACGCTGTTTGTCCAGGTTCCCAATTCTATTTCCATGAAAAAGTGAAATGAAATATTTGATAAATGAAAATATTTTTTATTTCATTTTTTCATTGTACGAGAATATGGCCCCAGGTTGTAGAATAGACCCCTTATAAAGCTAGACTTCAAGTATTGGTATTTAAATGTCCAAGGTAAACGTCTGCATTTTGGAAATTTGTGTATCCAGCCAAGATAAGACCCCATTTACTTGTTTGTCATTTAAATACGAAAATTTAAAATTAATTCTTTATCTTTTATTTTAGGTTATTACACCCTCATCGTATACAAATAACATAATTGTGGCCTGTGTTGGCATTGTAACATATTTATTAGCTGGGACACTTATCAATGCCCTGGGCAATAAGAGGATACAAGGTGCGTTTAAAAAAAAATATATTTTTCATGAAATGAAAATTTGTAATGAGGGCAGGAAGAAATTGCCGAACGGTTAACAATTTTCTAAAATAAACAGATTGAGAGAAACAGCAAGGCAATTCAAAACTTCAATACACCTACTTTTTAAGTTATTAAGTGCAATGACCTGTTGGTCAGCATGAGGTCTAAATCATTTCTATTTTTTAAATCCTCCTTTGCACAATTTTTTTCAATTTCAGTTATTGGCCTAATAATTGCGGGCACCAGTGGCATAGCTCTCTACTGGTCAACATCGTCGCTAACAACAATAATTCTAACATCTCTGTATTCAGCATTGGCCAGTATGGCTTCAACATCGTGTATTGGGTCATCTGTGATTCTATTTCCGACTTCTTTAAGGTAAGAAAAATTTAATTTAATATTAGAAGTTATATTTTTAAATTTTAACTACTTTTGTCCATTTAGAACAATGATTGTATCTCTGACGATGATGATTGGCCGAGTCGGTTCCATATTGGGTAATGTCATGTTGCCGATTTTTATGTCTATCGGTTGTGTACCCCCTCTTGTCATGTTTACCATGGTCATGTATCGTAAGTATTGAAATGGATATAGTTTCATAATAATTCAAGTTTATTCTTTTTCGTTTCAGTTGGCTGTATCCTGGCCGCATTGTTGCCAAGTTCAAATAAAGTGGAACTTAAGTAAATGTGTATTTTCCATCGTCTCAATAATTAAGTCTTCTTAAAAAATCAATGTGTAAATATTTTAGACATTAAAACGTTATTTAAAAGTTAGTAAAACATTTTTGTAGTTGTATAATTTAATTGTGTTGTAAATAAAAAAAGATATTTAAATTTGTACGAAACTATCTTATAATCAATTTTAAAAAAATTAATAAAATCGTATAGCTCTTCGTAAAGGAGCACAAGAAGTTCTTGCTATAAAAGAGAGTCATTTGTCAGACGATAAGACATCATTCTATTTTATAGTTTTCCATGACCTTTAGTCTTCGAGCATCCATAGAACTTAGCAAACATGTACATAACAGAAGATTTTTGAGCTTAAAGGGCACAAGCGTTTTCCTATGGGTTATTAGGAGGTTAGGAGGCCAACCGAAAACCAAACTGTCTGTTTACAAAATCCCATAAGACCTAGCCTTAGAAGGTTAGAAAGTCTTTTGTAGACACCAATACGATATTCTTTAAATAAATATTCTCAGGGAAGACCAGAAAATTCACAAAACATATCTTCCCCGTTGAAAACCTGAATAATGATATGACTATAAGGCCAAAAGTCCTTCTCTCAAAAGAAAGGTATTTGTAAAGGATATTTTAAAGAAGTACAGAAGAACGTTTTATAGAAGAACAGAAGGTCTTCTTATAGAGACTGGAAAATATTTTTAAAGAAGCCCAAAGAAGTCTATATGGACGGCCAACAGATATCCTTATCTAATTAAATACCAGAAAATTTTGTAATAAAAGACCCCACGATTTTTCTATACATGATCCCAAGGTCTGCTAAACGAAAATCCCAATGCCTTTCCCATAGATTACATCATAGAAGACCGAAAAATCTTCTTATGAAAAACACTATGGTTTTCTTAAGAAAGATCAAAAAATCTTTCCATAGGTCTCATGATGAAAAAACACCATGCCTTTACACGAAGAAAGAAAGATGTTATTATAGAAAGATGTTACAGGAAAATTGTAACAGGGGCGACATTATTTTCAAAAAAGTGTAGAAAGACCTCCCTACAAAAAGCAGAAGCTACTTTCAAAAGAAAGCAGAAGGCCTTTCTACAGAAGAACAGAATTTCTTCCTCATCTTATAGAAGAGCAGAAGGTCTTCTCATAGAATGCCATAAGGTCTTCTCTTAGAAGGCCAGAAAGTCTTCTCATAGAAGGCCATAAGATGGTCTTCTCACAGGAGGTCAGAAGGCCTTCTTACAGAAGAGCTGAAGGTCTTCTGATAGAAGGCCAAAAGATCTTTTCATAGAAAATCAGCAGACCAGAAGGTATTCTCATAGAAGGCCAGAAGGTCTTCTCATAAAAGGTCAGCAGGTTTTCTCATAGACGGTCAGCAGGTCTTCTCAAAGAAGACTAAAAGATCTTCTCAGAGAAGAGGAGAAAGTCTTCTCAGAGAAGAGAAAGTCTTCTCAGAAAAGACGAAAAGGTCATCGCATAGAAGACCAGAAGGTATTCTCGTAGAAGGCCAGAAGGTCCTCTCATAGAAGGCCAGAAGGTCCTCTCATAGAAGGCCAGAAGGTCCACCCGTAGAATGCCAGTAGGTCCTCTCATAGAAGGCCAGAAGGTCTTCTCATAGGCTAGAAGGTCTTCTCATAGGCTAGAAGGTCTTCTCATAAAAGGCCAGAAGGACTTCTCATAGGCTAGAAGGTCTTCTCATAAAAGGCCAGAGGGACTTCTCATAGAAGGCCAGAAAGAAGTACTTCTCATCGAAGACCGGAAGTATATAAAGCTGAAGGTCTTATTGAGATAAAAGAAGTGCAACAAGGTCAAAAGCCATAATTTTGGTTCTGAGCCCTGTTGGAATGTCCAAGGTCCGCGGCCAAAATGGCCCTCCAGAATATTTTCGCGATAATATTCTGCATTTATTCTGATACCACGGTCGATTAATATGAGCGGAGAGCGACCATCGGCTGTTATGGCGACCCACACCATCACCAGGGCCAAGCGAAGCAACTTATTAGCTCTTTTCTTGCACTTTTTGGAACTTCAATGGCTTTACCACGAGTTGAATTTGCAATTATTGCCGAATGGAATATTGCGATATGTTTAGCTCACGAGCCATTTTCGGCCACTGTGACGCGGATTTCGACCAAGTCGCTTCTTTACTTTTCGAACCATTTCTGATGATGTTGATGTTTTCTTCCGTCCACTTCCTTGACATTGGGCTACGCTACCAGTATCACGGTAACAAGCGATGGTACGAAACACACAAGAGATTAATTCATATTTAAATGCTAGAGTTCTCTAACAATAGCCACTTGAGGTTTTCCAGCCAAATATAAAGAAATCACATTGTCACGTTTGAATTCCATCACGAATAACTTTTTTTCTGGAAAATTCTCACCAAAATGCTTTTGTACGCTTGTAAACAATATAATGAGCTGTCACTGGAATAATTTTTACAGCTGTCGGACGAGTGGCGTAGAAATAAAAGCAGTCTGAAGTTAGGTTGCAGTTTTTTCATCCCACCCTGTAGTTCTTATGGTATACCAAAAATTCTTCTTATAGAGACCCATAAGTTCATATCTTAAAGAGGAGACAAAAATGGTTTCACAACGAAAAAGTCCTCAAAATTCACACCTTGAATTCTTCAGATGTCTAAACGCCTCCAATAGATGCTGAGTAATGAATTTTATCTTGGAAGCACCGGAAGGCTTTACAGAAGCTGTTAGTTGCCAGCTGATGCAATATATGACTAATTAAAGTAATGTATGTGCTATTTACTCAAGCATAACTGTATCTTTACGAGCAATGACTGTTTGACATAGTCTACAGTGTTGGTAAATGAGAATATCGTAAAACGTAACGTCACTGGGCTGATGAGTCTGACATGGAAAAATCAAAACAACAGTGATGATATAAACAGTTAGTCTGTCATTTAAAGGTGTTATGATGCTGATAAGAAGCAGTCGACATATGTACTTGCATACATATATTGAGATAAGATCAAAACAAATAATAGCATCAGGTCGATGGATGTTCACCCCAGTGAACTAGAATAAGGAATTGTTTGAGATGTAAAAAAAAACAAAAAGAGGATATTTTCAAAATATTTAATTATTGATTTATTAAAAAAAAAGATTTGAGTTTCAAACGTTTTTCTTTAATAGACTTCTGTCCTAACTTCCTGTTGCTGATGCTAAGTCAAGAAAGATTTTGCAAATATTGTTGCAGATTTCATTATCAGAATCTTTGCAAAGCCATATCATATTTTATGACCGGAGATAATGGGGTGGGGATATGGTTGTGCGTCGCCATAGAGTGAGTACAGCATTTTTGCCATAAGAAGATATAACATCCCGAGTTGCTAATCAGTTAGTCTCGGGATCTTTGATGGAGCGTTTAAATTTTGAAAGTGAAAAGTGAAATTCGGTGCAAAAAGGAAAAAAATCAAAAAACATGTGTTGATTATAAGAAATTAAAAAAAAAATTGAAAATTTGGAAAAATATTTTTAAAAATATATATAAATTTGTGAATATACAAAATTTAATCATAATGGGATCCATGACAACAGAAACAGCAGCTACCGCCACGGAGAAAGGTGTGTGTGTGTTGAGTGATCTCTTTCTTAGTGTTTTGAATAATAAAGAAGTGTAAATTGTTTGTTTCCAGATAATTGTAATAATAATCACAACAACAACAACAACAATTGTAATAAAAGTTCCAGTGACACAATGCCTGACCGTCCAGCTGATTTTGAAACAGCCATCAAGGCTTGTGGATTTGGCCGCTTCAACATTTTATTGCTCGTCGCAGCCTTGCCTGCGGTCATGGCAACAGTTTTGGAAACGGCAGTGGTTTCATATATCCTGCCCAGTGCTGAGTGTGATCTTAGTTTGGATCTATTGGACAAAGGCATTCTAAATGCCATTACATATTGTGGTAAGTATTTGAATTGACAAACATAAATTGAACGTGTCTATATCGCAATGGAGCACACGACGTTTTCGATATTCACATCATGTAATTCGCCATTGACAAATTTCTTAAAAGACCCTAGCTCGTGTCGAGTTTTTCGAATTATTGGGCCCTCAAAAGAATAAAAGTAGCTATAAACCAGTAAAGAAAGTCCTAAAGTCTGTCGGGGCCGACTTTATGATACCCTACAAAACTTTGCTAATTTAGTAGAGCTCCGCATAACAATTAAAAGTTTTTGTGGGAGAATTCAATCATACACCCTATGATTATAATTATAATTTAAAGTTCAAAGGACTAAATATGCCGAAGCCTTCGTATCTTTTAAATTCGGACTTGTATTGCCCATTTGGTGCAAAATTAATTTGAAATCAGATAAAGATATATTTGGGAGCTATATTCAAATTTGAACCGATCTCGATAAAATTTGGCAAATATATTTCTGAGCTGTATTTGATATATTTCCCTGAATATCGTTGTTACGGAGTGCATATTATTATATTAAATCGGATGAATCGTATATATGGGAGCTATAGCTATATCTGAACCGATCTTCACCAAATTTGACATACTAGCTTCTAGACTCAATTAGGCCAAATTCCATCACATCTTGACAAATATTAGACGTTTGGTGCACAATAAAATGTAAATCGGACGAAGTTATATATGGGAGCTACATCCATATCTGAAGCGATCTCGATAAAATTTAGCAAGGGTATTTCTGAGCTGTATTCGATATATCTCCCCAAATATTGTTGTTACAGAGTGCATATTACGGTTGCGGAGGACAAAAATAACAAACCGGATGAACAATATATATGGGAGCTATAGCTATATATGAACCGATTTCGATCAAATTTGGCATACTAATTTGGTTGTATGTGCAAAATTCCATACTATTCGGGCTGATATTACACGTTTGGTGCACAATAAAAGGGAAATCGGACGAAGATATATATGGGAGCTATATCTATATTTTTACCGATTATCTCCAATTTCAATAGGGTACGTCCTTGGGATAAACAAATGATTTTGTCGTATTCTACCCATCGAAGTCCTATATATAAGACATTTGAAAGGGTTTCTCGCTGTAGGATGCATAGGTTAAATCTTAAGGATTTTCAATAATCCCAGATGGTCATTTCTCTACATAACGTGCTTACAGAAGTTCTCATATTTATAAAGGAGTTACAAAAAAATTTTCTGTCTACAGATGACTTACAGAAAGACTTTTATCTATACACGACCGTCAGAAGAATTTCGACATATAAAAGAAACCCGTTCATTTTTAGGAAATCTACTGAAAGACTCCTACCTATAGGAAGGTCTTAAATTCAATGATCGCATATTAAAGATCTACAGAAAATATCCTATCCATAGAAGCTACAGAAGTAGTTCTATTGTAGAAGATTTTTTTAAAGGCTTTCACTTTTATAAGACCCAAAGAAGTATTCTTTTCTTAAGACCATGGAAAGTCTATATTCATTTTTTATGTCGATATATTCATATATTTATATACCTATATCGCCCTCTTCCAACCCAATGGACTGTAGTTTGTCATTTTGAGTTCTTCGCGGGATAGAGAATTTGGATTTGGGATCCAGTTCCACATTGTCCAATCGATTGTTTAATTATTTACTTTTGCCTCTTAAAAATAAAATAAATACTTCTGGCCTTCAAACGGCCACTGATACCGTCTCACACTGCCAAAATGTTGCTCTGCGGTATTTTGGTCCATTCCCGGCGAGGCCTTGCTTTAGGTGATCGACACTTTGGTATTTTTAAGTGCCAACCTTGCTTTCCAAAATACTCCAGACACAATAGGCCAACGGAGATTTTGATGGTCATTGTGCGCTGGAAATGAAGCGAGAAACTAAGTTTTGTAACCATTCTTGGGTGGCGCGTGCTGAGTGCGATGGTGCTGAGTCCTGTTGGAATGTCCAAGGTCTGCAGCTAAAATGTTTGCGTGCCCAAGGCTTTAATACACCCACAAGAATATTTTCGCGATAATATTTGGCATTTATTCTGATACCACGGTCGATTGATTCGAGCGGAGAACGACCATCGGCTGTTGTGGCGGCTCACACCATCACCATGGCCGGCGCTTCAGTTCTGGTGGCCAACCGAAGGTGTAAATTTTCAGCTGACCTCTTTGGCAACGACGAATGTTTTCTCATCGGAGAAAACCAAATTCGGCAGTTCACCACATTCGGCCGAGCGAAGCAACTCTTTAGCTCTTTTGAGACTATTTTCTTTCTCTTGCGGTGTTAGTTCTTGCACTTTTTGGAATTTCTATGGCTATACCCCGAGCTCATTTTTCAATATTTGCCGAATGGAATATGGCGATATGTTCAGCTCACGAGCCATTTTTCGGCGGGTTTCGACCAAGCCGCTTCTTTAATTTTCGAACCATTTCTGCTGATGTTGTTGTTTTCTTCCGTCCACTTCCTTGACGTCGGGCTACAAAAAAATTATTCACATTTAAATGCTTGAATGCTTTAACGATAGCCACGTGTGGTTTTCCAGCCTTCCAATGGTTTTCCTTGAATTCCAATGCGAATAACTTTTTTTCCGGAAAATTCTCACCAAAATGCTTTTGTACGCTTGTAAACAATATAATGAGCTATCACTGGAATAATTTTAACAGCTGTCGGAGGAGTTGTTTAGAAATGACAAAAGTCTGAAGTTGGTTGCAGGTTTTCATCTCACCTGTACATTATTAATATCGAGGATATCGGTCCTTTTCTTCTGATACCTCCCCTAAAAAAAGTTCGATGAGGGAGGAGTTCAATAGGGCACTTATTTCATCAACAACAGGACAGGAAGCCATGAGAGTACACTCATCTGCATATTTAACCACCTCTAGGTCAACTCGAGGCCTTGAGATCATAGAGAAGAAAAACTTCCTGAGCTTGGGGAACTTGATGTCCTCCATGCGTGTGGCCTAATTGTTCTGCTGACAATTTGTACCGACTGTATACAAAGTCGAAAACAGTAAAAACTGTGTTATGGAGCTAAAATGGCAAACTTTTCTATATTGGGCCCTGAAATTTTACATGAAGACTACTATTGATGTGTTCTTGATAATTCGTAAAAAAAAGAACTAAAACTACTAAAAATACGAAAAATATTCTTTTAACTAAGAAATTAGCCATAATTGGGATGCGAGCTCATCTTGTGTAAGGGGATCGAATAGAACAAGCTTTGTTCAAATGTTTTTCCTGCAGAGACTTTCAAAAGCATTAAATCCTAAAAAGTATTTCAAAAGTAAATAAACGTCCATTATTTTTTATTTAGGTATGATTACATCCGCCATTGGTTGGGGATATTTGGCTGACAACAAAGGTCGTCGGAATTTACTTATCATTGGATTTTTCCTCGACGTAATCTGTGTCATATGCGGAGCTTTGAGTCAGAGTAGGACGCAGCTGATGATTGCCAAATTTTGTGGTGGATTTGTGTAAGCAACTGAATTTAAAGGATAATTTAATTATACTACAAGAAATAACTCCCCTTATAAATTTCTGCAGAATGTGTGGTCCATTTGCCGTTTTGATGACTTATCTCTCCGAATTCCATGGCAACAATTTCCGTTCGCGTATAATGATGATAATTGGAGTTATGTTTTCAATGGCAGCCATAATGTTACCGGTGTTGGCCATTGTGGTATTGCCACTGAATTGGAATTTCGATATATTCAATATGAATTGTAAGTGAGATAAATCTGGGAAAACCGAGAGAAATAATAATATTTTGAATATTTCCAGTTGTTGCATGGAAAATGTATTTGGCTATTTGTGGAATACCCAGTCTGCTGAGTTGCATTCTCTTTTGTTTCTTTCCCGAAAGTCCACGATTTCTCATTACCCAGGGTAGAAATTCGGAAGCATTGGAGGCTTTTAAGACAATGTATGCGCTTAATACAGGAAAATCCAAGGATACATATCCTGTAAGTTCAGATTTTGTAAATATATTTCTGATATAATAATTTTATTTATATTTTTTTTTCAGATTAAAAAATTAATTAAAGAAATTAAACAAAAGGAAGATAGTTCGGATAAAATTAGTGTTGCAACCATTGAGGCTAATATGAAAGATATTTGTAAGGAAGAAAAACAAGAAGCCGACAACAATAGTGTTAAGGATGACACACTGATGGACAAACAGCCCAATACATTTAAAGTTTTGTGTTCCAAACAATATGTGGGTCTATGTTTCCGTGTCTGTCTTATGCAGTTTTTCATTTTGTTGGGGTGAGTTCAAATCATATTTTAACAAATATTAAAAATACTAATGACTTTTTTCAATACGCTTTCAGACAAAACACCATGCGCCTTTGGTTGCCTCAAATGTTTGCCTCCCTCAACGAATATGAACAAATTTCCAATGAAAGTACCAGCATGTGTACCATCTTGGAATACAGTGTTAATAAAACGGAATTGGTGAAAAATCCAAGTGATGAGTGTATTGTGGTAAGTTAAAATCTGATAGAAATTGCATTGAAAGCAACTGCTCTCACATAAGACCGGAGATCTGTCCATAAAAGACCAGTAGGTGTTGTCAAAGAAGGGCAGAAGGTTTTCTCATAAATGATCTTCTCATAGAAGCCAGAAGGTCTTTTCATAGAAGGCCAGAAGATCTTCTCCATAGAAGGCAAGAAGATCTTCACCATAGAAGGCCAGAAGATCTTCCCCATAGAAGGCCAGAAGATCTTCTCATAGAAGAACAGAAGGTCTTCTCCATAGAAGGCCAGAAGGTCTTCTCATAGACGACCAGAAGATCTTTTCATACACGACCAGAAGGTCATCTCAAAGAAGGCCGGAATATCTTCTCATAGAAGGCCATAGGGTCTTTTCACAGAAGGCCAGAAGGTCTTCTCATAGATTGTCAGAAGGTCTACTCATAGAAAGCCAGAAGACCCTCTCATAGACGACCAGAAGACCAGAAGGTCTTCTCACAGTCGACCTGAAGGTCTTCTCATAGACGACCAGAAGATCTTCTCATAGACATCCAGAAGGTCTTGTCATAGACCACCAGAAGGTCTTCTCATAAACGACCAGAAGGTCTTCTCATAGACGACGAGAAGGTCGTATAAGAGAGGGCCAGAATGTCTTCTCAAATACGACCAGAAAGTCTGCTCATAGACGACCAGAAAGTCTTCTCATAGAAGGCCAGAAAATCTTCTCATAGAAGGCAACAAGTTCTTCTCCATAGCAGGCCAGAATGTTTTCTCCATAGAAGGCCAGAAGGTCATCTTATAGACGACCAAAAGGTCTTCTCATAGAAGGCCAGAAGGTCTTCTCATGGAAAGCCAGAAGGTCTTCTCATAGAAGGCCAGAAGGTCTTCTCATAGAAGGCCACAAGGTCTTCTCATAGAAGGCCAGAAGATCTTCTCATAGCGACCAGATGGTATTCTCATAGACGACGAGAAGGTCTTCTCATAGACGACCAGAAGGTCGACTCATAGACGACCAGAAGGTCTTCTCATAGACGTCCAGAAGGTCTTCTTCCTTCTCATAGAAGGCTACAAAATCTTCTCATAGAACGCATTAAGGTATTTTCACAGAAGGCCAGAAGGTCTTCTCATAGAAGGCCAGAAAGCTTTCTTATAGAAGACCAGAAGGAGAAGATCATAGAAGGCCAGAAGGTCTTCTTCTCATAGAAGGCCAGAAGGTCTTTTCACAGAAGTCCATAAGATCTTCTTATAGAAGGCCAGAAGGTCTTGTTATAGAAGGCCAGAAGGTCTTCTTATAGAAGTCAAGAAGGTCTTCTCATAGAAGACCAGATGGTATTACATTGAAGGCCAGATGGTATTATCATAGACCAGAAGGTCTTCTCATAGACGACCAGAAGGTCTTCTCATAGACGACCAGAAGGTCTTCTCATAGAAGACCAGAAGGTCGACTCATAGAAGACCAGAAGGTCGACTCATAGAAGACCAGAAGGTCGATCATAGAAGACCAGAAGGTCGACTCATAGAAGACCAGAAGATCGACTCATAGAAGACCAGAAGGTCGACTCATAGAAGACCAGAAGGTCGACTCATAGAAGACCAGAAGGTCGACTCATAGAAGACCAGAAGGTCGACTCATAGAAGCCAGAAGGTCTTCTCATAGAAGGCCGGAAGGTCTCATCAGAGAAGGTCAGAAGGTCTTCTCATAAAAGGCCAGAAGGTCTTCTCATAGAAGGCCAGAAGGTCTGTCATAGGAGGCCAGAAGGTCTTCTCATAGAAGACTAGAAGGTCTTCTCATAGAAGGCCAGAAGGTCTTCTCATGGAAGGCCAGAAGGTCTTCTCATAGAAGGCCAGAAGGTCTTCTCATAGAAGGCCAGAAGGTCTTCTCATAGAAGGCCAGAAGGTCTACTCATCGGCGACCAGAAGGTCTCCTCATCGGCGACCAGAAGTTCTTCTCATAGACGACCAGAAAGTCTTCTCGTAGAAGACCAGAAGGTCGACTCTTAGAAGACCAGAAGGTTGACTCATAGAAGACAAGGAGGTTGACTCATAAGAGACCAGAAGGTCTTCTCATAGAAGGTCGGCTCATTGAAGACCAGAAGATATTCTTATGGAAGACCAGGAAGTCTTCTCATAGAAGACCAAAATGTCTTCATCTGTGTTTCACTGAACCATATACGAGAGAGGAGCACAGAAAATCGAAACCCAATATTTAATTTTATTCTACCCTTTCCTTTTCTTTCCTTTTTAAGATAATCACACCCTCATCCTATACAAATAACATTATTGTGGCCTGCATTGGTTTTGTGACATATTTGGTGGCTGGATCACTTATTAATGCTCTGGGAAATAAGAGAATTCAAGGTAGGCACACCCCCGACAAAATTTTAATGAAAGCAAACCTCTTAAGATTTTTTTCTTTAACATATTGTAGTCATTGGTTTAATGGCGGCCGGTAGCTGTGGCATAGCTCTTTACTGGTCCTCATCGTCGCTGACAACATTAATCATTACATCGATGTACTCGGCATTGGGTAGTATGTCGGCAACATCTTCCATTGGAACGTCAGTTAATCTATTTCCAACATCTTTAAGGTGAATTATTCTTATTCCTAATCTTATGCCTTATTTTCAAATCGATTTCATTTTCTTTCAATTCAGAACAATGATTGTATCGTTGACCATGATGATTGGTCGCATGGGTTCGATATTGGGTAATGTTCTGTTTCCCATTTTCATGTCATTCGGTTGTATTCCACCGTTTGTGATGGTGGGCGTGGTCATGTATCGTAAGTATTGCCAATGACGGAATGTGATGACGTTGTTGATTTGAATATTTAATGAATTCTCTTGTTCTTCTACATTCCAGTTGGCTGTTTATTGGCTGCCTTCCTACCAAGTACAAATAAAGTAGAACTTAAGTAAATTAAAGTCGTGTAAATGTTGTATTTATTAAAACAAATAGGTTATTCATAATTGATAATTGTTTAAACTAATTGTATGCAGCAGAAGTTTAAATAAATAAATTATTTCGAGATCTGTGATCGATTTGCCAAAATTTGGATATTATTACTTACATTTTGTTAATGCATGTAATGGGGTTTTAGAGTACGGAATACATTTCAAAACGCTTGCCGTTACAGATTAGACTTTGTTAAAACAATATAGCATTCTAACAAAATTTCGTTCAAGATTAGTTTAAATTAAATTCGGTCGGACCGAACTTCTAATACCTGGATTTACCGGTCTTACTGGATAATGGTGTTAAACCTTTCAAAAAACCATAAAGTGGGTGAGGCCGTTGTATGGGGGCCCTACCAAAACGCGAACCTCCATAGGCAATTTTATACTTCAATGATTGTTACCCATTACGAGTCTTAAATGCCAAATTTGAAAAACATCGTGGGTAAATATGGCAAAAATCATCAAAATACCGAATACCTATAAGTAGCGTTATATGGGGCTATAAAAAAATACCTACACCTGGACCAATATATCTCATTTTCAATACCAACCATCCTAGACGCAATACGAATTGTTGTTCCAAATTTTGAAGCTCTCCGTCAAATAATGTGGCTATATCGTGATTTCAAGAGGCAGACAGACAGACGGGCATCGTTAAATTGACTTTATGGGGTCTATGGCGAATATTTAGGGATGTTACAAACGGAATGACAAATTTAATGCACCCTCCTTTTCAAGGTGAAGGGTATACCTATTTTAAAAATCGAAATTTCTTGTAAATTACGTATTCATAAGCCAATATGAACTTCCAACAAATAAATTTTAAACCATTTTAAATAGGCTATAGTCGTGCGGGGCCGATTCCACCATGTTAGAAGCCCCCTTAGGTCCAAATTTATTTTGAAAGATTTAGCTTTTGAAATTATGTCACGCAGCACTACCATGACATTAACCTTAGCATTTCGACCAGGGACGTTTGCCCAATATTTACGCACTCCAACGTGCTGTTAGTTGTTGTGGTCCATTTTACAGCTAAATATAATCCAATGATCATCCAAAATGCTAGAATTCTTCCCTGTCCTAAACTCTCTTCTCAGGCGTGTCGATTGGCTTCAATTTTGTGATCAGGAAATTTTGTCTGTTTTCGGTTCATTTGAACCCCTAAATATTTTGCGATCATCTCCAAAAGCATGAGCCCCCTCTGTATCTCAAAATTTAGACTCGTCTATATGATTTGCTTGTCTACTATATTTGGCTATATTCGTCAACGAAATCAGCATAAAAATCCAGAAGTTCGGTAGAATGGAAATGTTGGTATTTTTCACACAAAAGTAATGGTATTATACCCGCTGCCCTAAACTCTAACTTCATGCGAGATTTTGTGTCCTTTGGTTTCTATTTGTAACGTTTATAACGGTTGCAAAATCAGGAACATATTTTGCGGACTTCTTGATATATAAGCATTCTAACTAACATCGCCTTCCATTGTATATTTCGCTATATACATCCGATATATTTACTATCGGCATCTACGTGATGGTCAGAGTTGACCTGTTCGTCTATTTGTGATTTCGCGGGGATTAAAAATATTCGCTGTTTAATGGAATATTTGACTTTTATTTAACACAAATGTTATGGTCTATTATACCTATAAATATTACCCGATGACCATCAAAATTGGAAGACTTCTGAAAAGCCCTAAGCTCTAGCACCATACTAACTTCCGGGTCCATTGGTCTATAATTACGACCTGTAGAGCAACTGCAAAATCAGGAAATTTTTCAGTTCTTGGTCCATTTCAAATATTATGCGATCCTCTCCAAATGCACTAGGCTTCTATTCTGAGCATATCCCCACCTACATTTTCAATTTCGAGAATCGGGCCATAATTGCGACCTGTAGAGTGATTACAAATTAATATGGACAGACGGACGGATATACATAGCTTGATCGACTCAGCTCGGCGAGATAGGAAGATACATATATATACTCTCCTATGTGGGAAACCAATATCGAGGTGTTACATAATTTTTGGCCCAATCAAACTTATAATACCCCCAACACATACAGAAGACGTTGCTTTAAATTCTAACTGGCAAACGTTACTCCATTCTGATCTCGACACTTCATCCTTTGAAACCGAAAAAAATGTACCCCTTCCTGGAACCTCCTTCTTTCTGCATATTTGACAAATTGTCATTTTCACAAAATTCACAAAATTTACTGTTTATTTATAATTTATTTAGATTTGTATTCAAATACCCACCATACTATGGAGAGTATATTAACTTTATCATTCCGTTTGTAACTCCTCGAAATACTCATGTCAGACCCAACAAAGCATATATATAAGTCGATTTAGCGATTTCCGTCTCTTGTAATGACACTATCTTTCGAACGAATTGAGATAGAAGGCTAAAATTTTGCACACATGTTTATTTTTTCAATAGGCAGTTTAAGTTCGTAAATGGGCCTTGTGGGTCTACGTTTTCATATAGCCCCGATATAACAGTACCTCCCGATATTCAGTATTTTGATGATTTTAGCGACATTATTAATCGGAATTGTTTAAAATTTTGTATTTGAAGTTCGCAATGGATTCTACAGCCTAAGACAGAAAATTGTCTGTGCAGGTCCACGTCTTCGTATAGCCCCCATATAACGGTACCTCCCTATATACGATATTTTGATGATTTTAGCTACATTACTCACCGTTTATTTCAAGTTCCGAATTTGAATTTGGTAATGACTTTTGACAAACAATGCCTGTGTGGGACCACGTCGTATAGACACCAATATAACGGCTATATTCGGTATTTCTAAAATTTTAGGAAAATTTTTTAAGGCTTCTATTTTCAAATTCGTTCCAAATCGTGGAGGGTATTCAAAGTTCGGCCCGGCCGAACTTACTGCTTTTTAACTTGTTTGTATTCATATGGCGAATCCAAAATATATTTTGACAGAAAACTTGGTCGTCAGATGGCCTTACTGGCCGACCTTATATAAGCCTTGTACAAAACTTTACTAAACAAAATTTTGCAGTATAATTTTGTGAGCACAAAAATTGTGAAATTGTCAAAAAAAAAAACTGTTGAGTCCTTCTTATTTGCTGAACTTTTAGTTTGGACACACTTAACGTTAACACACCGACATAAACATGTTGTAAATATTTGGGAATTATTTTCTTCAATATTACAAACTAATTTAATTTAAATATTAAAAATTCGAAGGATATTAAACTTTTTTGTTTAGCTTTGGCTCAAAACAAAAAACAGCAAATATTCGACTTAATGCCGAGAGTATCATAATTTTGTATAATCCCATAAAATTTATGAAAGCTGATAAAAAGTGGATAAGAACATTGTATCTCAGAATACAAGATGATACTGAGTAAATCTATGTCGCTTTATTCAGTTAGATTTGAAACGGTAGCTAGAACGGTTCTAAACGAATTGCCTTAAGGGCAATTATAACAAATATTACTATACAATGTGTGTTTCCTCCCTTACAACACGATAAAGCAGCAACAACAACAACAATTAGTGACACAATAAAATGGATTCCATACCAAACACCCCCGTAACAGAAAATGACGCACCACGAAGTAATATATATATGTTCAATTTAAAATAATATTAGCAAATATTTAATTTTAACGTTTCGAACAGTTTATCCCATCAAAAGAACCAACACAGAGGATGACTTAGATTTTGAAACACCAGCCGATTATGAAACAGCCATTAAAGTTTGTGGTTTTGGACGTTTCAATGTGTTGCTGTTATTGGTGGCCATACCAGCCATTATGGCGGCTGTATTTGAAACTGCTGTGGTTTCATTTATCCTGCCAAGTGCCGAATGTGATTTGAATTTGGATCTGGTTGATAAGGGTATTTTGAATGGCATCACTTATGGAGGTATGTAGGCATTGAACAAAGTTCGAATGAGTTAATTTGTTTTGGTTTTCTTCTGTCATTTTATCACAAATATTTGTGTGCGCTTTAGGTATGATTGTATCTGCCGTTGCCTGGGGTTATCTGGCCGACACGAAGGGTCGTAAAAATCTACTTATCTGGGGATTTGTGATCGATGTGATATGTGTTATCTGCTCAGCCTTGTCTCAAAATGTTGTCCAACTGATGCTGGCGAAATTTTTTGGCGGTTTTGTGTAAGTAAATTATGAATGAATTTTTGGGAAGACTCGATTTGAAGTACTTCCTGCGGGAGATCATAAATTAGGCCTTGGGTTAGAGCGCTCCAGCATTTGAATATGAATAAATCTTTTGTGTCTCGTACCATCGCTCGGTAGCGTAGCCCGACGTCAAGGAAGTGGGCGAAAAAAAAACAGCAACATCAGCAGAAATGTAAATCAAGTAAAGAAGCGACTTGTTCGAAACCCGCGTTGTAGTGGCCGAAAAATGGCTCGTGAGCCGAATCTATCGCAATATACCATTCGGCAAACATTGAAAAATTAGCTCGGTGTAAAGCCATTTAAATTCCAAAAATTCAAAAACTTACACCGCTACAGAAAGAGCTAAAGAGTTGCTTCGATTGGTCGAAAGTGGTGAACTGCCGAATTTGGGTTTCTCCGATGAGAAAACATTCGTTGTCCAGCAGTTTGTAAACAAACAATATGATCGTGTTTACTTACCACAGAGGTCGGCTGAAAATGTGCACCTTCGGTTGGCCATCAGAACTCAAGCGCCGGCCATGGTGATGGTGTGGGCCGCCATAACAGCCGATGGTCGCTCTCCGCTCGTATTAATCGACCGTGGCATCAGAATAAATGCCGAATATTATCGCGAAAGTATTCTGGAGGGTATATTAAAGTCTTGGGCGCGCAAACATTTTGGCCGCAGGCCTTGGACAACAGGACTCAGCACCATAGCGCTCGGCACGCGCCACCCACGAATGGTTACAAAATGAGGTTCCTCGCTTAATTTCCAGTACACACAATCGCCACCAAAATCTCTGAATACCAATCCGTTGGACTATTTTGTCTGGAGTATTTTGGAAAGCAAGGTTGGCACTAAAAATAACAAAGTGTCGATCACCTTAAGCAAGTGCTAGGTAGGTACTGATATATGGGGCCTATACGAAGACCTGGACCTGCATAGACAATTTTCTTCCACAGACTGAAGTTCACATTACGAACTCTAAATACGTACTTTGAAACAATTCCGTTGAATAATGACGCTAAAATCATCAAAATACCGAATATTGGGAGGTACTGTTATATGGGGCTATACGAAGACGTGGACCTGCACAGACAATTTTCTGTCTTAAGCTGAAGTATCCATTAAGAACTTCAAGTGTCAAATTTGATACAATTCTGGTTAATAATGTCGCTAAAATCATCAAAATTCCGAATATAGGAAGGTACCGTTATATGGGGAGCTATACGAAGACGTGGACTTGCACAGACAATTTTCTGTCTAAGGCTGTAGTATCAATTTCGGACTTCAAATGCCAAATTTGAAACAATTCCGGTGAATAATGTCGTTAAAATAATTAAAATACCGAATATCGGGAGGTACCGTTATATGGGCGCTATATGAAAACGGGGGCCTACATGGCCTATTTATGACTTAACCTACCTACTGGAAAAATAAACATGTGTGCAAAATTTTAGCCTTCTATCTCAATTCGCTCTTAATGTTTATTATTGTGAGAGTCTTAGCCTTACTTTCTCACTCCGTTTGCTTTATCACTTTTTTGTCGCTTTTACTTACGATGATTTTTGTTTTCCTCATTTCAGAATTTGCGGGCCATTTGCCGTTCTAATTTCATATCTAACCGAGTTCCATGGCACAAATCGTCGCCCCCAGGTTATGATGATTATTGGCATAATGTTTATGACCGCAAACATTGTATTGCCGATTTTGGCATTATCAATTCTACCAAACGATTGGAGTTTTCAAATATTCAATATGAAATGTAAGACGTTTAACTTTTCTTTAAATATTTCCAAAAAAAAATATTTTTTTCAGTTGTTTCATGGAAAATATTCATGGCAATATGCGGATTACCGAGTTTATTAAGTAGCATACTGTTGTGTTTTCTGCCTGAAAGTCCACGTTTTCTCATGTCGAAGGGTAGAAATTGCGAGGCAATGGAAGCATTTAAAATGATGTATTCAATGAATAAGGGGAAATCAAGGGATTCATTTCCAGTAAGTTGAAAATGAGTTTATAAATATTTTATTTTATTTAATGTTTAAATTTAATTATTGTTTGGTTAATTTAAGATAAAATCCCTGATTGAAGAGGTAAAGCAGAAACAATATAAAACTGCAAATAACCAATGTAATATATCCATAATTGGTGCAGCACCGAGAATAGAAAACAATGTGGAGTTGAAATCTTCTAAAAAGTCCAACACTTTTCGAGAACTTTGCTCAAAGAGAAATTTGGGATTATGCCTTGTCGTCTGTTTAATGCAATTTTTTATTTTACTGGGGTGAGTGGGATAATTTGAAGAAGTTTGGAAAATTTAATATAAGAATTTTTATAATTTTTCTCCAACAGATTGAACACAATGCGTCTTTGGCTGCCGCAACTATTTGCATCGCTTAATGAATATGAACACATCTCTTCGGAGGCAACCAGTATGTGTAAAATTTTGGAATATAGTGTTAATAAGACAGAGATTGTTAAAAATGTAATCGATGAGTGTGTTGTGGTAAGTAATGAAGGGGATATTAGCTTCCTATTAACAGTGGGAAAGACGCCTAGTAATTTTCAATTTTTATACCCTACAACACTATGTGTTGGGGGTATTATAAGTTTGATTGGGCCAGAATTTATGTAACACCTCGAAATATTGGTTTCCCATATAGGAAAGTATATATGGATCTTCCTAGCTCGCCGAGCTGAGTCGATCTAGCTATGTATGTCCGTCCGTCCGTCTGTCCGTCTGTACGTCTGTCCGTCTGTCCATGTTAATTTGTAATCACTCTACAGGTCGCAATTATGGCCCCATCTTCACGAAATTTAAAATGTAGGTGGGGTTAATGTCAGAATAGAACCCTATTTCTTTTGGAGATGATCGCCAAATGTTTAGGTGTTGAAATGGACCAAATACTGAAAAATTTTCGGATTTTGCAGTAGCTATACAGGTCGCAATTATAGACCAATCGATCGCGGAATTTCGCATGTAGCTAGAGTTTAGGGCGGGGAAGAAGCCTACCAATTTGGGTGGTCATCGGATAATATTTAGCGGCTAAAATAGACCATATCTTTTTTGTTGAAAAAATTCAAAATTTTTCATTAAACCGCGAATATTTTACATCCCGGCAAAATCACAAAGCCATGACAATGTTCCTTCTGATCTTTAAATTGATGTTAAGATCCAACAAATCGAATATATAGCAAAATATGTACGATATATATGTCTATCAAAGAAGATATGCTTGAAAGATCTATTTTATGTCGAGAACGGCTGAACTGATTTCGACAGTTCTCATTAATTCAGAATAGCCTCTTGGCAGAAAAGAAAAAACGCCTAAAAAATCGCATAAAAATATCTCTCTAAAGATGAAAATATAGATTTTGTAATATTTTCTCATATTTTTTCAATTTTGTCATATTTTTGGCATATTTTCATTTTGAATTAAACATTTGGTAATATTTCTACAGCTAACAAAACTAAGTAGTTAGGATATCAGGATATCATATACAGATCGCATTTATGGCCCGATCCTTACAAAATTTTGCATGGGGATAAGATGAGGGTCAGAATAGAAGCCTACTCTTTTTGGAGATGATCGCCATATATTTAGGGGTTGAAATGGACCAAAAAACTGCAAAATTGTCAGCAGGTCGTAATTATCGCCCGATCCTCAGGCACATTTGAATGGGGGTTACCGGACATTGCAAAAGCCAAGCAGTTTTGGATGGCCATCCAAAAATATTCAATGTGTGAAATAGTTTGCCAACTTTTGTCGACAAAATACGAAAATGTCCATTACAGTGACATTGCCACTTCTGAGAGATTATGGGTCTTTGGGAAATATTGGTTCCAGATCTAGGAAGATCATTTACGTGCAACATCTACCAATAAATTGGAAATGAGCAAATTAGTTTAAGTTGCTATTATTCGAAAATTAGAGAACGAAACCTGATGGTTTTCTTTTATTATTTGTCACAATATCTTGTGGAATTCTTTCGAGTATCTCGCCTATATACTGTATGGTTTATTATAGTGTTGTAGGGTATTCAACGGTCGGCCCCGCTCGACTGTAGCCTTTGCTTACTTGTTTTTTTTAATTAAATTAGATCATCCACAGATCAATAAGTTCTTCTCGTAGGAGAAATTAACTTATGATCGTCACCATAATAGAAAAATATGGAAATTATCTTTCATTTGGCATTTCTGATTGATAGTTGACATAATATCTCCTAAACAGTAACAAGTAAAAAAGCTGTAAGTTCGGTCGGGCCGAACTTTGAATACCCTCCACCATTAGATACAAATTCGGTCGGGCCGAACTTTGAATACCCTCCACCATTAGATACAAATTCGGCAATTTTCAAAAAATAAAATCCGTTAAAAATTCTGTTAAAATCTTAAAAATACCAAATGTAACTGTTATATTAGGGTCTATACGACGACGTGGACCTGCATAGGCAACTTTTGTCACAAGCTATTACAATATTCAAATGCGAAACTTGAAAAAAAAAAAATCTGTTTATAATGTAGTTAAAATCATCAAAATACCGAATATAGGGAGGTACCATGGGGGTTATAAATCGTAGACCCGCACAGACAATTTTCTGTATTAGGTTGTAGTATCCATAACGAACTTCAAATTCGAAATTTGATACATTTCAGGTAAATAATGTCTCTTAAATCATCAAAATACTGAATATCAAGGGGTACCGTTATATGGGGGCTATACGAAGACGTGACCTGCACAGACAATTGTTTGTTATAAGCTGTAGTATTCATTACGAAATTCAAATACCAAATTTGAAATAGTTCCGGTAAATAATGTCTCTAAAATCATCAAAATACCCAATATCGGGAGGTACCGTTATATGGGGACTATACATGGACTATACATTCCGATAAATAATGTCGGTAAAATTATCAAAATACCGCATATCGGAGGTATCGTTATATGGGGGGTATACGAAGACGTGGACCTACATGGCCCATTTTCAATACCAAAAGTCCTGCAGACACATTTGAGTAAGTTTTTATCAACTTCCTTCATTTCGTTGGGAAGCTAGAGCGATTTTCACAGACGGACGGACGGACATTGCTAAACCGACGTAGCATTTTATACTGATCAACAATATATATACCTTGTGGGGTCTAAAATGTATATTTCGAGGTGTTATAAACGATATGACAAACTTAATATACTCTCCATACTATGAACTTTTAATACCCTCCACCTTGAGCAAATGGAAACATTAGAACCCATTATGACCCACAAATACCAAGTTTCGGACAAATCCATGAAAAATTGTGGCAAAAATCGTCAAAATACCGAATATCGGGAGGTACCGTTATATGGGGACTATACCAAAACGTGGACCGATATATCATTATATCATATATCATTTCAATACCAACCATTCTCAATAGCAACCATCACAGACAAATTTTGACGCTCTATGTCAAATAATGTGGGTTGTATCGTGATTTCAACAGACAGACGGACATCGTTAAATCAACATAGAATTTTATGCTGATTTTGAATATATATACTTTGTGGGGTCTACGACGAATATTTAAGGATGTTAAAAAATTCATATACCCTCCTTTCCAAGGTGGAGGGTATAAAAAGATTTCTGACTAAGGAAAATATTTAGATATAGTAAGTTGTATAAAATCGCCGACTTATTTCGCAATTATTACAGATATAAGTATTGGATATTTCGACCCTTTGTGGTTGAAGAACCAGAACAGGTTGGCAGATATCTATCATCTTCACATCAGATTTTGCGTTTGTAAAAATGTTTGGATGTATTAAATTTGAAGAGTATTGGATGTCTATTTCGACTTCATTGAGCGTTTTGTTTTTCAAAATGACATTTGAAGAGAACGGGATGCATATTTTTTATGATTTTACGAGTATTTTTTATGATTTTACGAGTATTAAAAATGTTGACCTTTGTGGGTGAGGTACCAGAAGAAATGGCCCGATCTCGACCATTTTTATAAAAGATATTTTGTTCATAGAAATATTGAGATGTGCCAAGTCTGAATGGAATCGGATGTTAATTTAGCGTCTTATGAGCTACATAGATATTTTGACCCTATGTGGGAGCGGTACCAGAAAGAGTGGACCGATATATTCCATCTTCACACCAGACCTTGGGTTGAGAAAAATATAGTGATGTGTGTATTTTGGAGACAATCGGACTCTTATACACATTTTATAACAGTTATAACAATTCAAAATGATGACCCTTTGTGGGTACTTGATAGAGTAGACCGACATTGTCCACTTTCGCACCTGAGCTGTTGCAAATATTGCGATTTGCAAAGTAAGAGCAAAATCGGATAATCCTTTTCTCTCTGTGCAATAAAATATTTTCTTTGAAAATTTCGGCATTTTGTGGGGGAGGTACCAGAAGGAGTGGACCGATATTGCCCATCTCCGAACTCGGTCTAAGCTTGATAATAATATTACGATGTACCAAGTTTGAACCAAATCGGATCTACCTTCGAGAGTTATCGCGCGCACCAGCCAAAGAGACGGACGGACATCACTAGATCGGCTCCAAATATCCTTTGCACATTTTCAGCTTACCTCTTTGACTAGTAAACACGATCATTTTGTTTGTTTACAAACTACTGGACAACGAATTTTTTCTCATCGGAGAAAACCAAATTCGGCAGTTCACCACTTTCGGCCAAGCGATGCAACTCTTTAGCTCTTTTGAGTCTATTTTCTTTCTGTTGCGGTGTAAGTTCTTGCATTTTTTGGAATTTCAATGGCTTTACAGTTGGTTGCAGTTTTTTCATCTCACCCTGATACCCTCTCTAGCTATATGGTTGAGGGTATAAAGCTAAGAGAAATTTGACTGGTGGGCGAGTTCTTGCTTTTGCGAAGAACTAATATAGTTGTAATTTTAAAGTAGCGGTAAATTTGAACTACCCTTAAATTTATTGAATCGGTTTTAAAATAAGTTATAAACTACTTTCGAAATTAATTCAATTGATTCATTTTGTAATTATTTTCATTTATGTCAATTGGCTATTTTAACATGGGGACCATGTAGAAAGAGGTCATCATCCCGTCCATCCCTGCAGTACTTTTCAACTAGCTAGATATTTGGAATGATTGTTTAAATATTCTAATTATATATCACAATATCTTAAAGGATTAATCCATTCTTATCAGATACATACATAGAATATGAAATGGACGTCGTGCCCAACTGTAGCAATCGCTACAGTTGTCTTGCTCTTTATAATTATGTTTAATTACAGGTCATAACTCCTGCCACTTACACCAATAACATTGTTGTGGCCTGTGTTGGTTTGGTCACCTACCTCATAGCTGGGACTCTGGTCAATAAAATTGGCAATAAACAAATGCAGAGTAAATACATCAAATAACCAAGAACAATTTACAATTACCAAATTTCAAACTCTATTTTGCAATTTTAGTAATCGGTTTATCTTGCGCTGGTGTCTGTGGCATCGGCCTCTATTGGTCATCATCTTCGGTGGCCACTTTAATCATATCTTCATTGTACGTGGCTCTGTGTAGTATGGCAAACACCTCTGCTGTGGGAGCCTCGGCGAATTTATTTCCTACTTCATTAAGGTAATTATGGTAGAATTAAAAAAGTAACCTTATGCAATCGTATGTTTACAATTTTTCAAATTTATACCCTTGACCTCTTTTTATTTAATTATCAAATTAAAAATTATCAAATATTATTTTTCATAGAACAATAATTGTCTCCATGGCCATGATGCTTGGCCGCATTGGTTCGATTTTGGGCAATGTTCTTTTTCCGGTCTTCATGTCATTTGGTTGCATTCCACCTTTTGTGATGGTTGGTGCTGTTTTGTTTAGTAAGTCTCTTCTGTATTCATTATTGTTTTATTTTAAAATAAAAATTTTATTTTTATATTTTCAGTTGGTTGCATATTGGCTTCAATTTTACCAAATACTAGTAAATTAGAACTAAAGTAAATAGATTTTTATTAAAATCAAATATTACTTTTAAAACAATACAATAATAAGGAAATAATGAAAATGTGTTAAAATAAATGTCATGTAAAATATTCGGATATTTTGTTATTTTTAAGTTCAGAAGGATTGAAAAGGCTATATCGAAGTGGGGAAATGGTTAAAATATTGTTTACATTACACTGTGTAACACAAAAAATTAGAACAGGTAAAATCCAGCAGATTATTAAGGTAGAGCTTGAAATAGTTGGGGAACTATTCGGCAACACTGGTACAAACATCTCATGCACTTTCCGTGTTCTGTTTGATCTGTATTTTTACCAAGAATCGCCTTATACACAAGTAACGCTCGAAAATTATTTAATTGTATTATATTAGGAAAGGTCAAAAGTCGCACGGGTCCAACTATACGATACCCTACACCACTATGCGTATTTAGCAGAGTATATTGGGAATTTATGTGAAGTAGATCATACCAACCAAATAACATTGCAGTATAGTGCCTGATATGACTTCGATAATGATTATATTATCAATTTATCTGGTACCATTCTTGTAGAGTGCATATTATGCATGTGAGGGACTTTAACACCAAATCGGATGAAATATAAATATGAGAGCTACAACAATAACTGAAACGATTTTCTCCAAATTTGACGCACTTGCCTCTACACTGAATGTGGTCAGATGTGCCAAAATTTAGGTTATTTGGACTGAAATTGGGCATTTTGTGCACAATTAACCCGAAATCGTTTGAAGATGTAGGGTGAGATGACAAAACTGCAAACAATCTCAGACTGCTGTCATTCCTAAGCCACTCGTTCGACAGCTGTTAAAATTATTCCAGTGACAGCTCATTATATTGTTTACAAGCGTTGAAAAGCATTTTGGTGAAAATTTGCCAGAAAATATGTTATTCGTGATGGAATTCAATCGTGATAGTGTGATTTCTTTTTATTTGGCTGGAAAACCACAAGTGGCTATCGTTAGAGCACTCCAGCATTTAAATGTGAATAAATCTTTTGTGTCTCGTACCATCGCTCGTTACCGTGATGCTGGTAGCGCAGCCCGATGTGAAGGAAGTGGACGGAAGAAAACAGCAACATCAGCAGAAATGGTTCGAAAAATAAAGAAGCGACTTGATCGAAACCGGCCGAAAAATTGCTCATGAGCTGAACATATCGCAATATTCCATTCAGCAAATACTTGTAACATGAGCTCGGGGCAAAGCCATGGTCGATCTCCGCTCGTATTAATCGACCGTGGCATCAGAATAAATGCCGACTATTATCGCGCAAATATTCTGGAGGATGTATTAAAGCCTTGGGAACGCAAACATTTTAGCCGCAGACACCACGCCACTCAAGAATGGTTACAAAATGAGGTTCCTCGCTCCATTTCCAGCGCATAATGGCCACCAAAATCTCTGGATACCAATCCGTTGGACTATTGTGTCTGGAGTATTTTGGAAAGCAAGGTTGGCACCAAAAATACTAAAGTGTCGATCACCCCATCCAAGCGCTTCGCCGGGAATGGGCCAAAATATAGCAGAGCAACATTCGGGCAGCGTGTGACGGTTTCATTCAGCATTACATTCTAAGTCGATTTAACGATGTCCGTCTGCCTGATTTTCTGTGGAAATTACGATACAGCCCTCATTATTTCACGTAGATCTTCAAAATTTGCCAGAATAATTTGTATTGTGTCTAGGATGGTGGTTATTGAAATGTTTTGAATGTTTTGGTATAGCCGCCATATAACGGTACCTCCCGATATTCGGTATTGTCTAAAATTTGGTATTTGTAGGTCATAATAGGTTCTAGTTGCCGTGGGGGAACGTAGAATGTAAAGGTCAACATTTTCATGTAGCCCCCACATAATAGTACTTCCCGATATTCGGTATTTTTATGATTTTTGCCACATTTTCCACGAATTGGTATTTGTAGTTCGTAATAGGTTCTAGCTTATATGTTCATCCACATGTTGGTCCCCATTGTATGTATAGGTCCACGTTTTTGTATAGCCCCCATATAACGGTACCTCCCCATATTGGATGTTTTGATGATTTTTGCAACATTTTTCCATGGATTTGTCTAAAAAAATTGGTATTTGTAGATCATAGTGGGTTCTAGAAGACACCATAGATTAAAAAAAGGCAAGAAATCTTAATCTGAAAATTTTCAAATTACTGTGATATGTCAATTTTCAAAACCGTACCGTAGCTAAATATTGTTTGTGCAATTTAATTTTCTTAAAGTTCTTAACAGAATTTTCTGACATTTTCACATATGGCCATATAATTGAAACTCCGGATATTGTGTATTTTCATTATTTTTGTCAGATTTTTCTATCGGAATTATGTGGAATATTTGAGATATGTGCCAAAATTACTGGGTTAAGAATTGTACAATTATAATGCTTTGATTTGGCATAAACATCGCTGAGGACATAATGCCAGACAAGGCGTTTAGAATAGGGTACTTACGGAAACATTGCACATTAGCCAAAAGACATTATACAGATTTATTGTTAGTATACTGAAAACAAAAATGATGGTACATAATTTCCCATCCCTGACTCTCAGATTAGAAACTCCAAAAAAAACGATGTTGCATGTATGCATGTATTCACAGAGTACATTCTACATAGAGCCAAAAATCGATGCTACCCCCTTGTGTTTCCACACTTACATATATCAGCAAACATAATGAGTTCTTTTACATTATCAATCGCTCAATTGGTTTCCAATTAGAATGAGGAATCATGTCATTGCTAAAGATAAAAAAAGAATTGTTGACGACAAATGCGCTGAAAAGTCTACAATTGAAATCAGTAACATGGCAAACAGTCAGCAATAATAACGGAAATATTTCGAAGCATTAATAAAAGTTAGAACGCTGAACTAAAAAAAAAACAACTCGACATGGATATGAATTTGGAAGGAAAATGTAAGCTATTGCCTAGTCTCTGGTAATTGAGAATTTGAGGGAGAATTTTTTCTTTGACAGATACCCCCAAGGATTTTGCATCAATAATGGATATGAAAATTCCACCAAAAAAGCCAGCAACTGATTTTGCACCACCGCCACCTCCCCAGCAGCCAGCTGATTTTGAGGCAGCCATAAAAGCTACAGGATTTGGACGTTTTAATATTCTACTGCTGGCAGCAGCATTTCCAGCCATGTTGGCGGGGGTTATTGAAACAGCTGTCATCTCTTTTATATTACCCAGTGCCGAATGTGATCTTGATCTGAGTCTTATGGATAAGGGTATACTGAATGCCATAACGTCTTGTGGTAAGCTGTTGTGAAACTTGATTTTTAGAAATGTTTTAATTTGTTTTCGAATCTCCTTAGGAATGATTTCATCTTCATTGGCTTGGGGTTATTTGGCCGACACAAAGGGACGTAAAGGCATTATGGTATGGGGCTGTTTGGTGAATGTTATATTCGTCCTCTGGTCGGCCATGAGTCAAAGTCGCATAGAATTAATTATTGCGAAATTCTTTTCGGGATTCGTGTAAGTAGCGAGGTGAAATTAATATTTTTTACCAAAATCTCATTATTTCTTCCATTTGACGACCTATTATACTTGTACAATTCAAAATTGTAAGTTAAATTGAAAAAATCGCATGCAATAGGGTCTATTTCGCCCTCTAAATATTGTCCTATGACCATCCAAATTGGTAGGCTTCTACCCAGTTCTAAACTCAAACTCCATGAAAATTTTCGCGTCGATTAGTTTTTAATCGTGGTCTATAGAGCAATAGCCAAATCAACCCCCTTAATATTTTATGATCATCTCCAAAGACAAGAGGCTTCTATTCTGACCCTAACCCCATCTTCATTTTCAATTTCGTGAGGATCGGGCCATAATTGTAGCTTTATTACAAATTAACATGGACATACGGGCAGACGAACGGACATACATAGCTAGATCGACTCAGCTCGGCTAGATATCAAGATCCATAAATAGTTTCCCAATCAAACTTATAGTAACCCCAACACATAGTGTTGTAAGGTATAAAAAGACGATTCTCTAAAGCTAGAATCTTAAAAATGAGCACGTAGGTAAGTCTTGGTGTGTTGTCGTGTAAAAGCCTGGGTTTTTGAAAATTCGTATTAAAAGTGTACGAAAACTACTTAAATTACTAATAATTGAATATTTAGTATTGGACAAACGGAATGAGCTAGAATTCTGACATTTAGAATGAGAGTCCTGATGGAGTGCAGGATAAATGTACCACAGGGTTTCTTGGAAACTCGAACTTACAGGTTACGAAGAGTACTAAATTGGTACTAGACTTCTAAAATGGTACCCTTATGTAAAGGAATAGATCTAAAAATTTAAAATTTGATAGGAGAATTAAGGTAGGAATATATATATTCATATATCAAGGTGGTCTTGGTACCATTTAGTAATGGTACTAAATTCTAAACAGTTTAGTTAAGCGTGAACGGATGTAGCTACAATTTTGAGAGTTGGTATTGAAGTCTCTTTTGTTGAAATGTTTGTGATAGAAAGGTGTTTTTGGAAATATGTACCACAAGTGCACGAAAAGTACTAAATAGTACTACAGTTGGTACAATTTGAAAAATGAAAATTGGTTTGAAAAACTTGATATTTGGTATGAAAATCAAGATTGGGAAGTAAATTTGATATAGGGAAGTTGTGTGCGAACTGTACTAAATGATACTAAATTTGTAAAAGTTTGGTTTAGGGTGAACGGATGAAGCTGGAATTTTGAAAGTTGCCATTGGAGTCCCTTTTGATGATAGGTTTGTGATAAAGAGATGGTTTTGGAAATGAGTACTACAAGTGCACCAAAGGTACTAAATAGTACTACATTTGCTACAATTTCACATTGAGTGAACAGATATTTGCTAGAAATCTGAAATTTGGTATTAGGATCGCTGTTCATGTGTAGCTTGAACATATGGAGGTGGTTTTGGAATTGTGTACTGTAATTGTAGGAAAAGTACTGAATGGTACTATATTCGGTATTGGGTGAAGGGATAGAGATGAAAATATGAAATTTGATATTTAGATTGCTGATGGCATCTGTGTTTGAGATTTGGTGTTGGTTTAGAAATGCTATATATATTTGTACGAGAAGTACTAAACGGTACTAAATTTGGTACAATTTGGTATTTTTGGTATATATTTGGTATATTTGGATTACTGATGGCATCTATGTTTGAAAGTTGGCGGTGGTTTGGACATGTGTACTACAATTGTACGTAAAGTACTAAATTTGGTTTCGGGTGAAGGAACAGTGCTGAACTCCTGAAATTTGATATACATGTCACTTTTGGTATCTGTGGTTAATATATGCAGGTGGTTTTGGAAATGTGTACTATAATTGTACGAAAAGTATTGAATGGTACTTTATTTGGAATTGGGTAATAAAATTCTAAAATTTGATATTTAAATTACTGAAGGCATCTGTGTTTGAGATTTGAGTATGTACTATAATTGTTCGAAAAGTACTAAGTGTTACTAAAATGGGTGTTGAATGCAGGGGTAGAGCTTAGAACCCGAAATTTTATATAAATCCACTTTTGGTGTCTATGTTTAAGATATGGAGGAGGTTTTGGAAATGTGTACTATAATTGTTCGAAAAGTACTAAATGGGACTAAATTTGGTATTGAGTGAAGGGTAGTGCTGAAATTTGATATTGAGGTCACTGTTAATTTCTAGGGTTTACATATGAAGAGGTTGAAATAGTTTTGGCCCGAAAGATTGGATGTGTGTCAGGGTGAGATGAAAAAACTGCAACCAACTTCAGACTGCTGTCATTTCTAAACCACACGTCCGACAGCTGTTAAAATTATTTCAGTGACAGCTCATTATATTGGTGAGAATTTTCTAGAAAAAAAAGTTATTCGTTATGGAATTCAAGCGTGATAGTGTGATGTCTTTATATTTGGCTGGAAAACCATAAGTGGCTATCGTTAGAGCACTCCAGCATTTAAATGTGGTAGCGTAGCCCGATGTCAATGAAATGGACGGAAGAAAACAGCAACATCAACAGAAATGGTTCGAAAAGTAAAGAAGCGACTTGATCGAAACCCGCATCGCAGTGGCCGAAAAATGGCTCGTAAGCTGAACATATCGCAATATTCCATTCGGCAAATATTAAAAAATGAGCTCGGTGTTAAGCCATTGAAATGGCAGAAAGTGCAAGAACTTACACCGCAACAGAAAGAAAATAGACTCAAAAAAGAGCTAAAGAGTTGCTTCGATTGGCCGAACGTGGTGAACTGCCGAATTTGGTATTCTCCGATGAGAAAACATTCGTTGTCCAGCAGTTCGTAAACAAACAAAATTAAAGCCTTGGGCACGCAAACATTTGGCCGCAGACCTTGGACATTCCAACTGGACTCAGCACCATCGCATTCAGCACGCTCCACTCAAAGTGAGGTTTCTCGCTTCATTTCCAGTGCATAATGGCCACCAAAATCTCCGGATACCAATTCGTTGGACTATTGTGTCTGGAGTATTTTGGCACTAAAAAAGCAAGGTTGGCACTAAAAAATACCAAAGTGTCGATCACCTCAAGCAAGCGCTTCGTCGGGAATGGGCCAAAATACCGCAGAGCTACATTCGGGCAGCGTGTGACGGTTTCATTGGCCGTTTGAAGGCTATAATTCGTGCAAAGGTGACCAATTCGAACAAATCTAAACTTATTTAAAAATTTGATGCTATTTCTGACATTTTTGCTTTCATTTAAAAATTTAAAAAATATGGCGTTTGACTTTGGTACAGTTTTTTATCTCACCCTGTAAATATAGACTAATGGCATATAACGGCCTTAAAAACCGAGTGCTTCCTTTTACCACCATTCGAAATATCTTCCTTTACAGAATCTCTGGACCATTTTCTGTTCTAATGCCTTATATAACCGAATTTCATGGCTGCAATTACCGGTCACGCATCACGATGATTATTGGAACCATGATTTCCATTGGCGCAGTTTTATTGCCAGTATTGGCATTGCTTATTTTGCCAAATGACTGGAATTTCCTACTAGGGAATATACAATGTAAGTATACAAACTTTCGAACAAAAAATGTATAAAAATGTCGGTACATTTACAGTCAACTCCTGGCGAATATATCTGGCAATATGTGGCATACCAAGCCTTTTGGGTGGACTGGTGTTACTAGGATTTCCTGAAACCCCAAGATTTTTAATGACCAAAGGCAGAAATGAAGAAGCTCTAAAAGTGTTTAGAACAATGTATGCAATGAACACAAAGAATTCGAAGGAAACGTATTCGGTATTGTTGACTATTTTATTATTTCGATATATTAATTAATTTTAATAAAATTTGCAGATATCGGAACTAAAAAATGATTTCCCCACTCACCAACCTGAAGAGGACAATGTGAAAGTTACAGGAATTACAGAAATAAATCTAACAAAAAATCCTTTGCAAGGGCAAACTGGTCCATTTAAACTTCTGTTTTCAAAGTCATACATAAGTTTGACTTTGCGAGTATTAACCTTGAAGTTTTTCATGTTGTTTGGGTAAGAATATTTTTGATTTAAAAATTCACAGAACTAAGGAAATGTCTCCGAAGTTTAATCCCTTGACCAACAATGTATTTTTACACTGATACAAATCTCGGTTTTTATAAAAACAACCATATTGTAATAACACCCAACTATTTATACCCTACACCACAAGGCGGTCAGGGTATTATGCCTTTATGCATTCGTTTGTAACAGCCAAAAGGGAACGAGATAAACCCATAGTTCCTTTTGATGATCTGCATAGAATCACATTCTGAGTCGATTTATGCATGTTCGTCCCTCTGTCCCTCTGTCCGTCTGTCCATGTATTTTTGTAAACAAAGTACAGGTCGCATTTATTGCCCGATCCAGATGAAATTTTGCAAAATTATTTGTTTGGCCCAAGGAGGAACCCCATTAAAATTGGCCAGAATTTAGATATAGCTGCCATAAATATCTTCGTCCGCTTTGCTTTTTATTGTGCACCAAACGTGTAATATCAGCCTAAATAGTATGGAATTTTCCACATACGACCAAATTAGACCTGAAAATAAGTATGCCAAATTTGAAAATTTCGAAATCGGTTCAGATATAGCTAAAGCTCCCATATATGTTGTTCATCCGATTTGTTACTTTTTTCTCCGCAGCCGTAATATGCTCTCTGTAACAACAATATTTGGGGAAACATATCAAATACAGCTCAAAAATACAATTGTTAAATTCTATGGAGATCGGGTCAGATTTGGATATAGCTCCCATATATCACTTCGTCCGATTTGTCTTTTATTGTGCACCAAACGTATAATATTGGCCCAAATGGGATGGAATTAGGCATTTACGACCGAATTGAGTCTAGAAGCTAGTATGTCAAAGAAGATCGGTTCAGATATAGCTATAGCTCCCATACATATTGTTCATCCGATTTATTATATTTGTTCCCCACAGCCGTAATATGCACTCCCTAACAACAGAGAAATATAACAAATACAGCTCAGAAATATCTTTGCCAAATTTTATCGAGATCGATTCGGATTTGGATATAGCTCCGATTTATATATTTTTATCCGATTTCAAGTTAATTGTTCACCAAATGGGCAATATAAGCCCGTATTGAAAAGTTACAAATGCTTCGGCATATTTAGTCCTTTGAACTTTAAATAATAATTAATTGTTATGTGAAGCTCTACTAAATATGCAAAGCCGTGTGGGGTATCATAAAATTTACAGCTTTTTTACTTGTTTTAATTAAAAAATGTATTTTTTTAATTTTTATTATTTTTATTATTATTATTATTATTATTATTATTATTATTATTATTATTATTATTATTATTATTATTATTATTATTATTATTATTATTATTATTATTATTATTATTATTATTATTATTATTATTATTATAATAATTATTATTATTATTATTATTAATATTATTATTATTATTATTATTATTATTATTACTATTATTATTATTATTATTATTATTATTATTATTATTATTATTATTATTATTATTATTATTATTATTATTATTATTTTTCTTTTTTTGCCAGAAAAAACACCTTGCGCCTCTGGTTGCCCCAGCTATTTGCCTCCATTAATGAGTATGAACAGATATCATCGGATGCTACAAGTCTGTGCACAATATTGGAGTATAGCGTTAACAAAACCGAGATTATTACAAATCCTGAAGAGACATGCATTGTGGTAAGGAGTTTTTTTTAAAGGTAAATTAAAAACAAAGAATTTTTGGAAAATTTCTTGATTCTACAGATTATAACTCCATCAACATATGCCAATAACATTGTGGTGAGCTGTGTAATATGTGTTGCATTTCTGGCTGCAGGAACTCTTATAAACAAGTTGGGAGAAAAGAGAATGCAAGGTGAGTAAATAAAATTGTCTGAGAGGGGATGGACGTACTACGCATACAATGATTACATGGAAAATCTCGCTGATTGTGAAAGTAGAACTAAAAAAGAAGACCGTGTATCGGCAATTTGAAAGTTTGCATTGCAAAGTAAACTTCATAGAGATGGTAGGTTCTTCTCCCTCTTCCACACTTTTGGAAATGTTCAGATTAAGATTCCTCGAAATCCGCACATTTAAGGTAGATAGCCTCTTCGGTAATATTGCAGATAAAAATACAAGAAATATTATAGTAGAAAAATGTAATATCCAAGCGAGTTTACAAAGGAGTCTTTTGGTCCTTTTTATACACTCAACCGTATGGTTCTTGAGTGTATATACAGGGTGAGATAAAAAACTGTAACAAAGTCAAACGCTATATTTTTAAATTTTTTTTTTAATTTAATTGAATGAAAGCAAAAAATTTCGGAAATAGCATCAAATTTTAGAATAAGTTTAGATTTGTTCGAATTGTTCGCCTTTGGTACGAATTATGGCCTCCAAACGGCCAATGAAACCATCGTTGCCCGAATGTTGCTCTGCGGTATTTTGGCCCATTCCCGGCGAAGTGCTTGCTTCAGGTGATCGACACTTTGGTATTTTTTAGTGCCGACCTTGCTTTCCAAAATACTTCAGACACAATAGTCCAACGGATTGGTATCCGGAGATTTTGGTGGCCATTATGCACTGGAAATGAAGCGAGGAACTTAATTTGGTAATCATTCTTGGGTGGCGCGTGCTGATTGCGATGGTGCTGAGTCCGGTTGGAATGTCCAAGGTCTGCGGCCAAAATGTTTGCGTGTCTAAGGCTTTAATAAACCCTCCAGAATATTTTCGCGATAATATTCGGGATTTATTCTGATGCCACGGTCGATTAATACGAGCGGAGAACGACCATCGGCTGTTATGGCGGTCCACACCATCAGCATGGCCGGCGCTCTTTGGCAAGTAAACACGATCAATATGTTTGTTTACAAACTGCTGGACAACAAATGTTTTCTCATCGGAGAAAAACAAATTCGGCAGTTCACCAATTTCGACAAAGCGAATCAACTCTTTAGCTCTTTTGAGTCAATTTTTTTCTGTTGCGGTATATGTTCTTCCACTTTTTGGAATTTCAATGACTTTACCCTTAGCTCATTTCTCAATATTTGCCGAAAGGAATACGGCTCATATTTCAGCCACTGCGACGCGGGTTTCGATCAAGTCGCTTCTTTACTTTTCGAATCATTTCTGATTATGTTGCTGTTTTCCTCCGTCCACTTCCTTGACGTCGGGCTACGCTACCAATATCACTCCTTACCAGCCATGGTACGAGACACAAAAGATTTATTCACATTCAAATGCTGGAGTGCTCTAACGATAGCCACTTGAGATTTTCCAGCCAAATATAATGAAATCTTACCATCACGCTTGAATTCCACCACGAATAACTTTTTTTCTTTAAAATTCTCACCAAAATGCTTTTGTACTCTTGTAAACAATATTATGAGCTGTCACTGCAATAATTTTAACAGTTGTCGGACGAGTAGCTTAGAAATGACAGCAGTCTGAAGTAGGTTGCAGTTTTTTCATCTCACCCTGTACACCCTCTGCATCCATTATGACTTAGGGTATAAAAACAACGTTTATTTATTGGTAGGGGAAGATGGCAATATTTACCAGGGCTAGGCAGGGAATAGTATGATTACACCAAATTAATTGAATTAAAAATATATATGTATTTAATTTTATTTTCAAATTCTTTCAGTTATAACCTTATTAATTTGTGCAGTTTGCGGTTTCACTCTCTATTGGTCATCGTCCACTGTTACAACGCTCATCATCTCTTCTACTTACATAAGTATGGGCACGATAGCAATGACAGCTTTGATTGGGGCATCGGTTAATTTGTTTCCAACATCATCCAGGTACTATAAAATATTCCACTTTAATATATGTTTGAGTTATAATTGATATTTATTGCAGAACCATAATTGTTTCCTCCTCCATGTCATGTGGTCTCATCGGCACCATTTTGGGTAATATCTTATTTCCCATATTCATGGCAATGGGTTGCATACCGCCGATTGTAATGTTGGGTGGTGTTATGTTTTGTAAGTAGATTTGTAATAATTTTAGTACATTTTTGAATATTCACGACTTAATTTTCCTTACAGTTGCAGCGATTTTGGCATATTCTTTACCCAGCACCAAGAAATCAGAACTTAAGTAAATGTCATTTTATGGTAGTCCTAGAGCAATTTTGTTTTGAAAACGTTATGTTTAGAATTTAAAAAAAAAAAAACAACAAAAATATAAAATAAAGAATGCAGTGGTTGCGCCCAACGACAAATTGATTTTATGAAGGAGCAAAATGCACCTAAGTGTTCTTAACTATTAAAAATTACACTTCCTAACTATTAAAAATTATACCTTGTTTTTAAATTCAAATCACATATTAAAACAAGTAAGCAAAGGCTACAGTCGAGCGGGGCCGACCGTTGAATATCCTACAACACTACAATAAACGATACAGTTTATATAGGCGAGATACTCGAAAGAATTCCACAAGATATTGTGACAAATTATAAAAGAAAACCATCAGGTTTCGTTCTCTAATTTTCGAATAATAGCAACTTAAATTAATTTGCTCATTTCCAATTTATTGGTAGATGTTGCACGTAAATGATCTTCCTAGATCTGGAACCAATATTTCCCAAAGACCCATAATCTCTCAGAAGTGGCAAAAGATTAACATTTATTATTGGTTTTTGACTGAAACGCATCTATATGAGAAACAGACATTTGACTATATTCGTTAACGAAATAGTCAGAAGTGCGTCTTTCCTGTATTTGTGAATTCTCCAAAAAGTCACTGGAATGGTCATTTTCGTATTTTGTCTACAAAAGTTGGCAAACTATTTCACACATTGAATATTTTTGGATGGCCATCCAAAACTGCTTGGCTTTTGCAATGTCCGGTAACCCCCTTTCAAATGTGCGTGATGATCGGGCGATAATTACGACCTGCCGACAATTTTGCAGTTTTTTGGTCCATTTCAACCCCTAAATATATGGCGATCATGTCCAAAAAGAGTAGGCTTCTATTCTGACCCTCATCTTATCACCATGCAAAATTTCGTAAGGATCGTGGCATAAATGCGATCTGTATATGATATTCTGATGTCATAACTACTTAGTTTTGTTAGCTGTAGAAATATTACCAAATGTTTAATTCAAAATGAAAACATGCCAAAAATATGACAAAATTGAAAAAATATGAGAAAATTTTACAAAATAAATATTTTCATCTTTAGAGAGATATTTTTATGCGATTTTTTAGACGTTTTTTCTTTCCTGCCAAGAGGCCATTCTGAATTAATGAGAACTGTCGAATCAGTTCAGCCGTTCTCGACATATAAGAGATCTTTCAAGCATATCTTCTTTGATAAACATATATATCGCACATATTTTGCTATATATCCGATTTGTGGGATGTTAACATCTATGTAAAGGTCAGAAGTAACCTTGTCATGGCTTTGTGATTTCGCCGGGATTTAAAATATTCGCGGTTTTATGAAAAATTTTGAATTTTTTCAACACAAAATATATGGTCTATTTTACCCGCTAAATATTATCCGATGACCACCCGTCCTAAACTCTAGCTACATGCGAAATTCCGCGTCGATTGGTCTATAATTGCGACCTGTATAGCTACTGCAAAATCCGACATTTTTTCAGTATTTGGTCCATTTCAACCCGTAAACATTTGGCGATCATCTGAAAAAGAAATAGAGTTCTATTCTGGCCCAACCCCGACCTCCATTCCAAATTTCGTGAAGATCGGGCCATAATTGCGACCTGTAGAGTGATTACAAATTAACATGGACAGACGGACAGACGGACGGACGGACATACATAGCTAGATCGACTCAGCTCGGCGAGCTAGGATGATCCATATATACTTTCCTATATGGGAAACCAATATTTCGAGGTGTTACATAAATTCTGGCCCAATCAAACTTATAATACCCCCAACACATAGTGTTGTAGGGTATAAAAATTAAATTTAATAAATAAATAATATTATTATTTAAATTTTGACAGAAAATTAATTTTGTGTTGTCTATACGGATAATATATTAGTGAAATAACTGACGGCTGAAGCTGTAATCTTAAAATTTTGCACGAGGGTCAGTTTTGGTGCGTAGACGTGTGATAAGTCTAGGGTTTTGGGAATCCCTACTAAAAGGGTACGTAAAGTACGTAAATGTAATAAAAATTAAATATTTGGTATTGGACAAACAAAATGACCTAGAATTCTGAAATTTGAAATGAGAGTCATGGATGGAGTACAGGATAGATGTACCAAAGTGTTTTTGAAAAGTCGCACTTAAAGGTTACAAAAAGTTTTAAAATGGTACTAAACATCTAAAATGGTACTAAACTCTGAAGTGGCACCATTTAGTATTATGTGAACGATTAGAGCTAAAAACTTGAAATTTGATGTGTTAATCAACGTTTGGAAAGTAAGTTTGATACATGACGATGGTTTTGTAAATATGTACTTAGTGTACGAACTGTACTATATGGTACCAAATTTAACACTGTTTGGTTTAGGATGAACGGATGAAGCTGGAATTTTGAAAATTATTATTGGGGGACCTGTTGTTAGTAGATTCGAGATAAAATATCTATTTTAAAAATTTATACTACAAGTGTACGAAAAGTACTAAATAGTACTATATTTGTTATAATTTGGTATTGAGTGAACAGATAGTCCTTGAAATCTAAAATGTTTTATTAGGATCGCTGTTCATGTGCAGCCAGGACATATGGAGGTGGTTTTGGGAATGTAAAGTACTAGATGGTACTAAAAGTACTAAATGGTACTATGATGAAGGAAAAGAGATAACATTCTGAATTTTAATATTTAGCTTACTGATAGTAACTGTGTTTGATATTTGGCGGTGGTTTGGAAATTCGTTTTATATTTGTTAGAATAGTAGTAAATGGTACTAAATTGGGTGAAGGAATATAGCTGGAATCCTAAAATTTAATATTGAGGTCTCTATTGGTGTCTGCGGCTAAGATATGGAGGTGGTTTTGGAAATGTATAGTAGAATTGTTCGAAAAGTACTAAATAGTACTAAATTTGGTATAGTGTGGAGAAATAGAGCTGATAATGTTGGAGTCTGCGGTTAGAATACGGGGGTGGTTTTAGAAATGTGTACTATATTTGTTCGAAGAGTACTAAAATGGTCTATATTTTGTCTTGGTTGAAGGGATAGAGATAAAATTCTGAAATTTGATATTTAGATTACTAATGGCATATGTGTTTGAGATTTGGCGGTGCAAGAAAAGTACTAAATAGTACTAAATTTGGTATTTGATATTGAGGTCTCTGTTAGTATCATGGTAGTGGACTTATCTTAAAATTTTGCAGGAAGAGATTCTCGAAATATCTTCACTTTGGAAGTTCCGTTTTATGTGGTCAACACATAATAGTGGACCTATCTTTACAAAATTAAGCAGAGAGAGATACCGGCAGCTCTGGACTCAAAATGCCAAGTTACTCATGAGGTACCTTCAAAATACCGAAAATTATGAGGTACAGTAATATGACGAGTAAACCAAATACCAAAAAATTTAGCATGAAGAGCTTGTATCTACTCAGAACTCTAAATGTAAAATTACACATGACTTGGTTTAACATTGTGGTCAAAACATTCAAAAACCGAAAATCAGGAAGTCATACGGGTGAGATAAAAAAAACTGCAACCAACTTTAGATTGCTGTCATTTCTAAGCCACTCGTCCGACTGCTGTTTAAATTATTCCAGTAACAGCTCATTATATTGTTTACAAGCGTACAAAAGCATTTTGGTGAGAATTTTCCAGAAAAAAAGTTATTCGTGATGGAATTCAAGCGTGATAGTGCGATTTCTTTATATTTGGCTGGAAAAACATAAGTGGCTTATCGTTTAAATGTGAATAAATCTTTTGTGTCTCGTACCATCGCTCGTTACCGCGATACTGGTAGCGTAGCCCGACGGACGGAAGAAAACAGCAACATCAGCAGAAATGGTTCGAAAAGTAAAGAAGCGACTTGATCGTAGCCCGCGTCGCAGTGACCGAAAAATGGCTTATGACCTGTACATATCGCAACATTGCTTTCGGCAAATATTTAAAAATGTGCTCGGGTAAAACCATTGAAATTCCAAAAAATGTAAGAACTTACACGGCAACAGAAAGAAAATAGACTTAAAAGAGCTAAAGAGGTGGTTCGCTTGGCCGAAAGTGGTGAACTGCCGAATTTGGAATTTCTCCGCTCCGATGAGAAAACATTCGTTGTCCTGCAATTTGTAAACAAACAAAATGGTCGTGTTTATTTGCCACCAGAACTCAAGTGCCGGTCATGGTGATGGTCTGGGCCGCCACAACAGCCAATGGTCGCTCTCCGCTCGTATTAATCGACCGTGGCATCAGAATAAATGCCGAATATTACCGCGAACATATTCTGGGGGGTATATTAAAGCCTTGGGCACGCAAACAATTTTGACCGCAGACCTTGGACTTTCCAACAGGACTCTGCACACGCTACCCAAGAATGGTTACAAAATGAGGTTCCTCGCTTCATTTCCAACGCTACAATGGTCACCAAAATCTCCGGATACCAATCCGTTGGATTGTTGTGTCTGGAGTATTTTGGAAAGCAAGGTTGGCACTAAAAAATACCAAAGTGTCGATCACCTCAAGCAAGCGCTTCGCCGGCAATGGGCCAAAATACCGCAGAGCAACATTCGGGCAGCGTGTGACGGTTTTATTGGCCGTTTAAAGGCCATAATTCGTGTCAAAGGTGACCAATTCGAACAAATCTAAACTTGTTCTAAAATTTGATGCTATTTCCGAAAGTTTTTGCTGTCATTCAATAAAATTTAAAAAAAATGTAAAAATTATGGTGTTTGTACGTAAAGTACTAAATTTTGTATTGGGTGAAGGGATAGGGCTGGAATCCTGCAATTTGATATTTAGGTCTCTCTTGGTATCTGGAATTGAGATAAGGAGGTGGTTTTGGAAATTTGTTCTATGAAAATAACTAAATAGTACTAAATTTTGTATTGGATGAAGGAATAGAGCCGAAATCCTGAAATTTGATGTGAATGTTACTGTTGGTGTCTGTGGTTAAGATATGGATATGGTTATGGTGGTTTTTGGAAATGAAGCCTATAATTGCTCGAAAAGTACTATATGAATAATTCAGCTGGAACGACTTCTCTCAAAGAACATTCCTCCAAGAATTTTTCGATTGGTTTCGGATTTGATATTTTAAAAGTGAGATAACACACCTTCTGATATATAAGAAGTCATAGTCGAAGTTATCTAAATATCTGTAGACAACATCGGGAAATTATTTCATACTTATTTTTCTTTTCTTAAAAACTAAATTTACATTTTCATTTTCTCTTAACATTTATTTCGACAAATTCTCTTGTTATTTCCAAGTTGCATTTTTTTACCAATGATCATCGAAAGTGAAAACGAAAATATCATCAAGAATGACTTGTGAAAATCTCAATGGGGTTTTTCATCCAAAAGTGAAATAGCAATTCTGTGGCATTGACATTGAAATAATGTCTCTTGGGGCTATAAAAGATGAGCCAGGTTGTGGCATCGGTGACAGTCACCTAAAGTCCACATTGAAGAGAAGAAAAGCTATGGACGCCTAAATGGGAAAACATTGGAGAGTGAAAATCACAAGAAAATGTCAATGGAAATGTTTTCGAATACAATTTTCACATTGGTAAGCCAGTTACAAGGAGTTGGAAATTATTTAAATTTTTAATATTTCCAGATTTTGGTGTTATCGTCACTGCTCAGTTCGTGTCATGGCCAAAATAATACCCTTATTGACGCCCAGCCAGACAGTGGTGGCAATAAAGTACGACGCAGCATAATTGATCCGTATGCTGGCCTATCACCATTTGCACCGTTTGGTGCTGGTCCACCACCATTTGGTTTTGGTTTCCCACCCTATCCATTTCCATTTCCACCACCTTTTCCGCCGCCACCATTTCCTCCACCATTTGGTGGCTTCCCACCACCGCTAGCACCACCATTACCATTGCCACCACCACCAGTGTTACCAGCACCCTTTCCTGCGCCATTTCCACTACCCTTTTATCCTCCAGGCCCACCATTTGGCTTTGGATATCCATACGCACCTCCACTGGCAGCGGCACCACCACCGCCTCCTCCGCCACCACCTCCGCCTCCTCCACCTCCAATTCCAGCACCAGCGCCTATAATATTACCAGCTCACACAGCGGCAACCTTGAGTGTTGCCTCATTGCTACACGCGTTGATCGCCAAGAAATTCTATCCACCCGTTGTGCCGTTTCCAGTTCCCAGACCTGTGCCATTTCCAGTCACGGTTAAGGTATGTATAGGGTTTGTATAATATCACATGGATGATTATCATTAACATATTCTCTGTTACAGGTCCCTGTACCAGTGGCCGTTCCTGTTGATCGTCCCGAACATATTACAATCCTACGACCATCCAATCATTATGAGGAGGCGGAGCATGTTCTGCACGACGATAAGTACCATGAAATGGAAAATGAATGGAATTCCGCACCGCCTGAGATTATACGGCTTTCGGAATAAGAAAACTACAGACTTTTTGTTTTTCAAAACTCTATTATATATTGTTTCTTAATATTTTTCATATTTAAATAAACAAATAATTGATTATTTATTTAAAATAACCAAAAAAATAGACGAATTTTTTAGAGAAATGAACTGAGAGTTTATTATCCTGGATGAACACTTTTTCCGTCTAAGAAAAAATTTCATCATCCTGGATGAACACTTTTTCCGTCTAGGAAAAAAGTTCATGCTGGATGAACACTTTTTCCGTATAAGAAAACAGGATGAAAATTTTTCCTAGACGGAAAAAGTGTTCATCCAGGATGAACACTTTTTCCGTCTATGAAAAATTTTCATCCTGGATGAACACTTTTTCCGTCTAGGAAAAATTTTCATCCTGGATGAACACTTTTTCCGTCTAGGAAAAATTTTCATCCTGGATGAACACTTTTTCCGTCTAGGAAAAATTTTCATCCTGGATGAACACTTTTTCCGTCTAGGAAAAAATTTCATCCTGGATGAACACTTTTTCCGTCTAGGAAAAATTTTCATCCTGGATGAACACTTTTTCCGTCTAGGAAAAAAAGTTCTTCCTGGATGAACACTTTTTCCGTCTAGGAAAAAATTTCATCCTGGATGAACACTTTTTCCGTCTAGGAAAAATTTCATCATCCTGGGTGAACACTTTTTCCGTCTAGGAAAAATTTCATCATCCTAGATGAACACTTTTTCCGTCTAGGAAAAATTTCATCATCCTAGATGAACACTTTTTCCGTCTAGGAAAAATTTCATCATCCTAGATGAACACTTTTTCCGTCTAGGAAAAATTTCATCATCCTAGATGAACACTTTTTCCGTCTAGGAAAAATTTCATCATCCTAGATGAACACTTTTTCCGTCTAGGAAAAATTTCATCATCCTAGATGAACACTTTTTCCGGCTAGGAAAAATTTCATCATCCTGGATGAACACTTTTTCCGTCTAGTAAAAATTGCATCATCCTGGATGAACACTTTTTCCGTCTAGGAAAATTTTTCATCCTGGATGAACACTTTTTCCGTCTAGGAAAATTTTTCATCCTGGATGAACACTTTTTCCGTCTAGGAAAATTTTTCATCCTGGATGAACACTTTTTCCGTCTAGGAAAAATTTTCATCATCCTGGATGAACGCTTTTTCCGTCTAGGAAAAAATTTCATAATCCTGGATGAACGGTTTTTCTGTCTAGGAAAAAATTTCATCATCCTGGATGAACACTTTTTCTGTCTAGGAAAAAATTTCATCATCCTGGATGAACGCTTTTTCCGTCTAGTAAAAAAAGGCATCATCCTGGATGAACACTTTCTCCGTCTAGGAAAAAATTTCATCCTGGATGAACACTTTTTCCGTCTAGGAAAAAATTTCATCATCCTGGATGAACACTCTTTCCGTCTAGGAAAAAATTTCATCATTCTGGATGAACACTCTTTCCGTCTAGGAAAAAATTTCATCATCCTGGATGAACACTTTTTCCGTCTAGGAAAATATTTCATACTGGATGAACACTTTTTCCGTCTAGGAATAAATTTCATACTGGATGAACACTTTTCCGTTTAGGAAAAAATTTCATCCTCGATGAACACTTTTTCCGTCTAGGAAAAATTTTCTTTTTTCTTCTAGGAAAAAATTTCATCCTCGATGAACACTTTTCCGTCTAGGAAAAATTTTCTTTTTCCTTCTACACTTTTTCCGTCTAAGAAAAAATTTCATCCTCGATGAACACTTTTTCCGTCTAGGAAAAAATTTCATCCTCGATGAACACTTTTTCCGTCTAGGAAAAAAATTCATCCTCGATGAACACTTTTTCCGTCTAGGAAAAAATTTCATCCTCGATGAACACTTTTTCCGTCTAGGAAAAAAATTCATCCTCGATGAACACTTTTTCCGTCTAGGAAAAATTTTCATCATCCTGGATATACACATTTTCCGTCTAGGAAAAATTTTCATCATCCTGGATATACACTTTTTCCGTCTAGTAAAAATTTTCATCATCCTGGATGAACACTTTTTCCGTCTAGGAAAAATGTTCATCATCCTGGATGAACACTTTTTCTCTGTATGGGAAAAAAGTTCATCCTGGAAAAAGTGTTCACCCAGGATGATGAACTTTTCTCCCATATGGAAAAAGAGTTCATCCAGGATGATCAACTTTTTTCCTATACGAAAAGGTGTTCATCGTGGTTGATGATTTTTTTTATACGGACTTTTTTTACTGTAGCATAAACTTTCCAATGTTTCCAATATTTTTTATTTTTAATTTATTTTAATTATTTATTTATTTTCTAACAACAATTACAACAAATATAATAAAGTTCACTTAACGTGGACACATGGCATGTTTGCCACCATCGACGGGGACCAAAGCACCGGTTATAAAACTAGCTTTGCTGCTGGCCAAAAATGCAATCGTTTCCGCAACTTCAAAAACGTTACCCACTCTACCCATGGCATGGGTGCCCTTGCTGCGTTCCAAATAATTGGCATACTCCTGCTCCGACATACCACCGCCCCGCTTGTGGATTTCCGTTATAACAACTCCGGGATTCACCGAATTCACTCGAACATTTTCCTTGGCCAAATCCAAAGACAGACACTTGGTGAATTGATCCAAAGCCGCCTTGGAGACACCATAACTCAAAGCACCCGGAAATGAACGTAGACCGGCCACACTTGAAACATTAACAATGTTACCTTGGGTATTGATGAGATATGGAACCGACAGCTTGCTAAGCGTGAACACAGCCCGAACATTTGTGTTCAGCACATTATCGAATTGTTCAATGTCGATGTCCATGAGACCTCCCATAGCCAAAATGCCGGCATTGTTTACCAAAACATCCAATCTCTGGAATTTTCCAATAACTTCATTTACGATTTTCTCAGCATCGGTGGTGACATCAGCAATAATGGGCAGACAGACAATGTTGGCATTGGCAGCTTTACACTTCTTTTCCGTCTCCTTTAGATTTCCAGCATTACGTCCAACTATGGCAACATTAGCCCCATACTTGGCCAGTGTCTCGGCTGTGGCAGCACCAATGCCCGAACTAGCGCCGGTTATTAAAGCAACCTTACCGGTGAAATCCATGTTACCCACTGAACTATACACACCCAGAATGTAATAATTCGAAGTGTAAAAACTCTTATCTCTGACACAAATTTTGAGAGCTTATTTCTAGCGATGATAACTATTGGCCCAACTGATAAGATTAGGTGAGTGTAAAAAATAACAAAACTATGAAGTTGATGGAAGTGATTTTATTGCAATGTTTGCTACCTCAACTACACGATTGGAGAACTATTATTCCAATTCAACACTGTTGCCATTGTAAATTGATGTTCCTATGTGGAAAAGTTCATCCCTCATGAACACTTTTCCGTATAGGAAAAAAGTTCATCCGGGATGAACACTTTTTTTCCGTATAGGAAAAAAGTTCATCCGGGATGAATACTTTTTTTCCGTATAGGAAAAAAGTTCATCCGGGAACACTTTTTTTCCGTATAGGAAAAAAGTTCATCCGGGATGAACACTTTTTTTCCGTATAGGAAAAAAGTTCATCCGGGATGAACACTTTTTTCCCGTATAGGAAAAAAGTTCATCCGGGATGAACACTTTTTTCCCGTATAGGAAAAAAGTTCATCCGGGATGAACACTTTTTTCCCGTATAGGAAAAAAGTTCATCCGGGATGAACACTTTTTTCCCGTATAGGAAAAAAGTTCATCCGGGATGAACACTTTTTTCCGTAAAGGAAAAAAGTTCATCCGGGATGAACACTTTTTTTCCGTATAGGAAAAAGTTCATCCGAAAAACTTCATCCGAGATGAACACTTTTTTCCGTATAGGAAAAAAGGAAAAGGATGCACACTTTTTTCCGTATAGGAAAAAAGTTCATCCGAGATGAACACTTTTCCGTATAGGAAAAAAGTTCATCCGAGATGAACACTTTTCCGTATAGGAAAAAAGTTCATCCGAGATGAACACTTTTCCGTATAGGAAAAAAGTTCATCCGAGATGAACACTTTTCCGTATAGGAAAAAAGTTCATCCGAGATGAACACTTTTCCGTATAGGAAAAAAGTTCATCCGAGATGAACACTTTTCCGTATAGGAAAAAAGTTCATCCGTATAGGAAAGATGAACACTTTTCCGTATAGGAAAAAAGTTCATCCGGGATGAACACTTTTTTCCGTATAGGAAAAAAGTTCATCCGGGATGAACACTTTTTTCCGTATAGGAAAAAAGTTCATCCGGGATGAACACTTTTTTCCGTATAGGAAAAAAGTTCATCCGGGATGAACACTTTTTTCCGTATAGGAAAAAAGTTCATCCGGGATGAACACTTTTTTCCGTATAGGAAAAAAGTTCATCCGGGGTGAACACTTTTTTCCGTATAGGAAAAAAGTTCATCCGGGATGAACACTTTTTTTCCGTATATAAAAAAGGTTCATCCGGGATGAACACTTTTGTCCCGTATAGGAAAAAAGTACATCTGAACACTTGTTTTCCAAAAGTTCATCCGGGATGAACACTTTTTTCCGTATAGGAAAAAATTTCATCCGGGATGAACACTTTTTTTCCGTATTGGAAAAAAGTTCATCCGGGATGAACACTTTTTTTCCGTATTGGAAAAAAGTTCATCCGGGATGAACACTTTTTTTCCGTATTGAAAAAAAGTTCATCCGGGCTGAACACTTTTTTCCGTATTGGAAAAAAGTTCATCCGGGATGAACACTTTTTTTCCGTATTGGAAAAAAGTTCATCCGGGATGAACACTTTTTTTCCGTATAGGAAAAAAGTTCATCCGGGATGAACACCTTTTTTCCGTATAGGAAAAAAGTTCATCCGGGATGAACACCTTTTTTCCGTATAGGAAAAAAGTTCATCCGGGATGAACACTTTTTTCCGTATAGGAAAAAAGTTTTTTCCGTGTAGAAAGAAGGTGTTCATCCAGTATGAACTTGAGTTGAGTTTTAGCCACTTTTGTTTCGTCAGAATCGTCAATAAACACTTCCGTATTATTTAGGTTATATTCCATAACTTTTATTGTGGTATATTGAATTTATTTTAATTATTTTTTTTAATTTGAGGATTAAAAAAAAGATCAAAGGGATTTGGATTTTTGCTATAATACATTTAAATATAAGTTCATACATATAATTATGTATTAATATGCATGTATGTAGGGTATATATGTAGTTGTGTATGTAAATGGATAGAAAATGGGCAAAAATTGTGGGCTTGGCATGGGCCCATGTTGTTTCGTTTTGTTGATTTTTTTTTTTGTTTCAATAAAATGTACATTTAAAAACAAAATAAATTAGTTCTAGAGCGTTCTAGTATCATATATATTTTAATATACATATAAATATTTGTTTATATGAGATTGGGATTATTTTTTACTATTTTTTTTTAAATTGTGGAATATTTTATACCTTAAATCAAAAAAAAAATTGTTATTAAATATTTATGTTAGTTAACCTAAACATCCATTAATAAATCCGTTCATAGCTGATACTTTTTTTCAATATTGCACATTAGCTTATAAGGAAAGGAAAAACATTTTCAATCCGTTTGTAAAAAAATGGAATGAATTGATATGAAAAAATTGAGATATTCCTTCTAAAATTAATATAAGTTAGAAATTCCTGAATATTCAATTTTAAATCTTATAGGAAAAAGTTAATTGTTGAAAAAATAATAAAAATTTTTTCAAAATAATATTATGGGGTATGAAATTAGAATCTAAATAAGCCAGAGATGAAATAACGAAATCATAACACCCTGCAATTTCTGGTGGAGTTCATAAAAGAAGCCGTGGCAATGTGTAACGTGGTATCTTCTTCAGTTTTAAACCAATAGAACCGCATTGCGCTGAACTTCATCTCAATTTCCAATTTCAAATACAAACGGATGAAAACATATTTAAAATAAATACATTTAAAGATTACGAAAATGTCGCACAGCCAAATCAACTGGTAAATCAAAGTCATATTTGGTTAAGACATCAATTGAACGTAAAGCATCGCGAAATCCAGTACAGGCCACATAGCTATTGGTCATATAATAATTATCCAACAAATCGTTACAGCTAAAGATAAGATTTAACCACTCCACCAACTGATGAGAACTGTAAATAAAAAAACACAAATTAATTTGACAAATTAATTTTCCAAAACTCAAACATACTTTAGTCCAGCACACACGAATGCCTTGAAATGGGCATTATAACTTCTCTTATAGGGACGATGCATGGCAATAATTGTGCCCACGGTACTCAACAGATTTTGTTTAGATGTTACTGCCTGGGAATTGACAATATCCAAATTAAAACTTTGCGAAAGCTTTCGAGCTGGCGTATTGTTGTATTCATCGCCATGTTTCAAATAATAATATTCCAATATTAATTCCCAAGCATGCATGGGCCTTGTGTTTCCGGTAGAGAATATTCCACCATTGCCACCATTATCTGCATCTGGCCAAATGCCACTTGTGTCCATACCCTCAACATCATCATAACCAAATGCTGCCGCAGAAGAAGCCGACGACGATGACAAAAATGAACCAGCATCACAGTCACGTGCCCGAAAATTATGTTCGGCCATAAAAACAGGGGACGGATTAAGGCAGCGCATGAAAGGTACAATAAGACTAGAAGTCATTTGCGGTGAAGACTCTACCCTTAGGCCATGTTGAATCAGTTTCAACAGTGTCATGGCAAAGTTTTTCCTCACAGCTGTAGTTAGCTCCTTGTTGAGTGTGTTAATGGTATCACCACGTATACGGGCACAGTGGGCCATTCTACGACTATTCTGTTGTTGCCAGTTATAGTAATCGTTCATGTCATAGTCATCATCATCGGAATCGGATGAAACTTGATAGGGTTTCAATTGATTGCGATAATTCGCTTTAATGCCATTTCGTGCTGCACGTGGAGGGATTGTCGTCAGCATACCATTTGAAGCTGATGTTGTCGGTTGACTGGTGGCAACATCTGCCGATTTGGCTTTTTTCATCGATTTGCGTAATTTTGCCAGTTTTTCACGATCAAAATTTAATGTTGCTGCCAACGAGGCGACCTCTTGAATATCCACTTCCAACTGGGCACGCAAATCGCTGGAATTAAAAAAATGGTTAGTACAAATTGCCAGCAAATAAGATTCATCAATGAATAAAAATCCTAATTCCTAGCCCAATCAGATTTGGACCACATCACAGATGCCTAGTTATAGTTTGCATTAGATTTCTCGGCAATATAAAAATCAAGCATCCGCAATATCGGATTCAAAAATGGGGATTATATTTGTTTTATATACGATTTTTTGTTATTCCAATGTTTGAGTTTCAATGGAAAGGTAAAGGGTAAGGAACACTGATAACATAACATCCGATCGTCGCTCTCCGCTCGTATAAATCGACCATGGCATCAGAATAAATGCCGAATATTATAGGGAAAATATTCTGGAGGGTGTATTAAAGCCTTGGACACGCAAACATTTTGCCCCCGACCTTAGACATACCAATAGGACTCAGCACCACTTTTTTTTAGAAACACACATTTAATAAAACCTTGTTTAGAGTCTGGTCACAAGTTTATCTCAGTGAACTAATTAACCTACGAATTATGATTTGAGTGTGTTCCTCTTCTAAGGTAATTAATTTCAAATTCTGCAAATTATTCCAATACAGCACTAGCCTAGAGATGACGGCTTGAAATATGTCAGAGAATGTTTCTTGGCTTAACAAATCAGATATTAACAAATTTTCCTCCTTATTCGAGGATTTCTCTCTTATTCTATTCACCATCCAACTTGTAATCTTTTATTTTGCAAATTTGCAAGATACACCAAAAATGGACAAGCCCGAGATGATATATGCTATATTCTGCTTGAAATATGTCCCAGAAGTGTTACTATACTTAGAAGAAATAACAAATTCCCCTCCTGCATCACCCATCTACAAGAATGATTTGTCAAATAATGTCTCCCTTCCCTGTCCATTTTCCAACTCTTATCCATCATTGGTATTCAGGTTAGAATTTAGGCTACTTCCTTTAAATTACTGGTCTGGACCGTTTTCTTACAAAAATATGCGAGGTCTAATTCGTTTTTTTCAATGTCAATGATCTAAAATTTATCAAAATACACAGACATAAAGAAGATCTAATAATTACTAATCAACTAATCAAACCTTACCCAATTCCAATTCCCCAAGTGCCTACATTTCCAACTATATCTGCTTCAACTTACCCCCAATGATTTCCTTTGTTTGTTTTCTTCAGGGTATTCTTTTGGAATTCTTCAGGCTTGGCACCGAAATGGGTTGTGGCAAACATTTGCATTAGCAACGAAGCTTTGTCCATTAAACTATGGGCCTTGTGGTGAAGGCTTTCACGTGTTGCCGCCGATGTAGCAGGATTAGCCCGACAATCTATTTAAAAATTAAATAAAAAAATATATTATTAACAAACTCCCTTTGCAAAGGTACAAATATACCCTCAGTTTTATCATCACCATTTACTAATGCTGCCTTCGGCTCTTTGGGTTTCAGTGAATCCTTTTTCTTTTTTGCCGAATAACTGTTGTAGGCTTCACTTAATTTCTCACCACCTGTGGTCAGGGTTTTCAATTTACTCTCATCTGTATCACATTGCAGGAATGCAATGAATCGTTCCAAATCAGTTATTTGTGTTTTCAATTGGGCCACCAATTGTTCCTTCATTTTCAGGGGACCCACAAATTCTCCAATGGCATTGTCTACTTGCGACTTGAGTTCTTCGGCGGTAAGCTCGGGTAATTTTTGTTCATCTACCTTAAAATTGAGTTTGGTTTTTAATTCATCAATAATGATTTTTTGCTTTTCCAAAAGGATATGTTGTGGCAGAACAGGTGCTCCCGATTCATAGGCTATTTTTTCCAATTCAGTTAGCTGAGTTTTTAGTTGTTCAATCAACTCGAACTGTCGTTTGTCCACCTGACCATCCTCGGTGTGATTTCGCAGAGAAGAACCACAGCGACTTGCTGTCCGGCTAAGGGAGGAAATGTTTGACTGATCGGGAATACCTTGAAAAGCAAATTCCTCTAAATCTTTCAGCAACTGATCCCTCTCATGGGGAGGAGCTTCCACAATCTGACGTACTCTCAACTGAACATGGGCAAAGTGTGAAGTCAAAGCCATTAAAGAGGATGTAAGCATTTCCTGCTCCTCTTCCAATGTCTTTAGGCGTGCAACTTCGGCCGGATCGTCACCATTATGGGAGAAATCTTGTTTTTCTTGACTGACATCTGATTGACTTAATAGTTCCAATTCGGATTCTGGACTAAGCAGTTCCGAGGAGGGGGTAACAGCATCATCGTAATTGGCTCCAAGTGGAGACCAACGTTCACTTAAAGGCTGTAAGGAGTCATCAAAATCCCCAGGAGAAAACTCCAAAGAACCATCAAGAGTTTGGTTGTCATTTGTCTCTGTTTGCTGCTGCGGTGGTGCGGGTGGTTGTGGTGGTGGTGGTGGTGAGAGTACAACAGTTGTGCTTAAATCTGTTGATTTGGGAAGTTCACAATGTGTTACCATTTCGGAAAAGTTGGCAAAGTCCTCTAAAGCGGTTTCATCTTCCTTTCCCTTGGAATTTTCACAACAGCTGCTACTCTCAACAATCTTCAAAGTATCTCCTGCCAATTGCGTTTGTTGTGCCTTCGTTTCGAGGTCTTCTTTTGTGGTCATAAATGTGTCGTCGTCATCAACCTTGTCTCTGCGTGCCTCTCCATCGCCACCACCTCCTTCGCCTAGTGTTAACAGGACAACATCTTCTTTGCTTTGTTCAACAAAGCCTTCGTCAAATTTCTTTGCCTCGAATTGTAGTTCTTTGGCAAATTTACACACAATTTTCTCACAATCTGTGGTATTCATGGTTGAGGAATATCTTTAATCGCGCGCATTATAAATTTTTCATGATTTTGAACACTTTTCAGCCAATTAATTGTAAAATTTTAAACACTTTTCACGCAGAAGAAAAAAATCAATTTTTCAAGTATGGTTATTTTTCCTTGTTTGACAGTTAATAAAAGTATAATGAGAATAAGAAATTTGCTCATTCCCATGAAGGAGCAAAACTGTAAGTGAGAGCTCGTTAAATAGGGGTTGATTGGATGAGAAACAACGGTAATTGTAGGAGATTAAAGAACAGAATGAAAATCTGAGACACAAACCAATTACTTCAGCAACTTGTTGTCAGTCGATTTAATGTTCCCTACTCATGGTTATGGGTAAATGTAATTTTTGGTTAAATGTCGATCTATAGATCTCTTCTTCAAAAGGCAAAAATAAAGAAAAATGAAAAATGCTCTAATCAAGGATTTATGTACTTTAAGGGGTTCCCAATGAACATTTCGAAATATTGCGAACTGAGGGACAAATAGAGAGTGAATTTTATAACATGGAATAAGATAAAGCAAAGGAGCTAGAGAAACTAAAGGAACTAAACTTACCAAGGAACTAATTATAGTTCCGGTAGTTCATTTTACAGAATATTTCCTTTGCGCTAGTTCGATTTAGACGAAGAATTCCGCGAAGAAGGTTCAGTTTTCCTCATGTCTCATTCGTAAACAACAGAGGTCCCTCGGGGATTTTGCTTTCTGTTTAATTTTTATCAAGTATTCCTTTTTGGCCTTTATATTCGTTACGTTGGGGACGACTTTCATTTTGGTTTCCCACGCGCGCATTCGCTCTGTTTTGCAACACTCAACCACAGAACCTGCAGCTATCTAACTTAGCTATCCCTAGCCACCAATTCGAAGTCGACTTACCTACCCCTAGAAAAATAGAATTTATGCAATTCCATTCGATTCATTCGGCAAAGATAAACAAAATAAAACCTTAAATCTTTTAAAATTATTTAAATTAATAGCAACATGTCGACAAGACGTTTAGCCAAGTCTCTGTACCGCCAGCTTCTACGCGAGGCGGAAAAGTTGCCTTCATATAATTTCAGGTAATTGGTGTGTGTAGTGCTTTTGTTGTTGTTTTTATTGTTTTTATATTTTAATCAATGTTTAGTGCCAACTTTATTTTGGAAATCTTCAATGAAACTTTTCAATTTCAGATTGTATGCCTTACGTAAAATACGCGACACATTCCAAACGAACAAAACCATCAATGACTTTGAACTAATCGATCGGGAGATTGCCACAGCCAAACAGAGTTTGGAAATGCTAAGAAGACAGGTGAGTGTCGGTGCAAAAATTTACATATTGCCGTTCGATGATGAAATTATTTCGTTTAAGTTTATGTTGAACTAGGCTTAGGTTCTCTTTGACCAAATGTGGTACATATCCATGTTAGTGAAATTTCTAACTGGCCGACAGTATCCACTTGGCATCAAAAGGAAAATAAAATCCTTTAAAGCATTGAGGACTACATAAGTCAACTTAAAATCGCCTCTTTTGAAACCGATAAACACACTTTAGGGTGGCACAAGTAGGGTTTTTGGCAGCATGCCGATTATTTTGAAAACTTAACCGCTGCTAGTTCTTGGTGTCCATTGTAAGATAATATAATTTTATTCTTGGACAAGAGAAGACCCTTGGGTCAGCTATGAGAAGATCGGTGGATCATCCATGAGAAGACCAGACCTTCAGATCATTTATAAAAAACCAGACTTTCGGGTCTTCTATGAACATACATTCGATTCTCGAAGAAGACTTTCTACTTTTCTAGAAGAAGGCCTTCATCTCGTCCAGGAGATGTCCTTGTCGTCTTCCTGGTGAAGACCATCGATGAGAAGACCAGAACACTTTAGGGTGGCACAAGTAGGGTTTTGGGCAGAATGCCGATTATTTTGAAAACTTAACCACGGCTACTCCTTGGTGTCCATGGTAAGAGAATACAATTTTATTTTTGTACAGCTATGAGAAGGTCGGTTGATCATCCATGAGAAAACCAGAACATCGGATTATGTATAAAAAGACTAGACCTTTGGGACTTCTATGAACAGAGTAGAAGACTTTTTGATTTTCTGGAAGAAAGCCTACATCTAGTCTAGGGTAAGTCCTTTTGGTCTACCTAGAGATCTCGTGATCTTCCTGGTGAATCCCGTTTAGTCTTCCTAGAGAGGCCTTTCTGATATTTCTATAAAATACCACGTGTTCTAGGTTTCCAACCAGGAAACCCTTATTTTTCAAAGAAAACAAATGCATTTATCAGTAGTACCGGCGCAATTATCTGAGCAATTCTACTCCCGAGTTATGGTCGCCAAAACTCTCGTTAATGCCTGGTATATTTCCAGTTTTTGTAAGACCAACCAACCAATAATGGTATTTACACCAGCCACGCAACCCGAAGCTTATAAATATGTCTTTTTTTATAACTAGGAAACATATGCTCTGTTGCATATGCTCTGTTGCAGAACTGCAAAAATGTAAACTTTTTACTACGATAAACGATTTTTCCTTTATGATATAGAATCGTATTTTAAAACTAGTATATTCTGGCAGGTTCTAGAAAATGGCAATTTAGAGACCCTGAATTCGAGAATTTATGTTCCGTGTAACTTCTGGTTATGGCATAGTTCCCATATAATGGTAGCCCCTGGTTTTCGAATCTGATCTATATTTTTCACATCTAGATTATTTAGTATTTAAAGGTTTAAATGTATTTTTTCTCTCTGAGATATTTCAACTGATCCCTACAACTCTCATCTTTCATAGTTGCTATACCAAAAATGTCTGTTTCCCAAGAACGACTGCACGTTAAACCTATCCTAAATTTAAGTCTGACCCGTAAATTAAATTTTAAAATAATTCTCCCAGAGATTGATTTTCGAAGCTTCAAAATCTATCTTTGAATCCTTTAAAACACCACACCAATTATATTTCAAAACTAATGTTCAATTTTTCTCTTTCCTTTTCAGGCCATTATTGGACATCTATATTCGGCAGAAAAATTAGTCATTGAAAACAAGAAGAGACTAAAACATTCAGATGATTAGAAATTAACACCGACCCAATGCCGTTTCCTCACACAATATAATCAGAATTAGTAGTTGCGCCTTACGTTAGATGATAGTTATACCTTTTGGCCTGTTTTGTTTGTTTTTTTTTCTTTCTTTTTTTGCATTTCAAAGAACTGTTTTTTGTATGTGCAACAGTAAACGAAGAACTATAAAAATACGTAGATAATTGTTAAGATTTTAAATAAAAAAATATATAACAAATGAATACCTTTTTTTTAATATAATTTATTTTTCGTGTGTGTATAAAATAATGTTCGTTTATACAATTTGTACATATATATTTAAGAATATACGAATGATATACAAGGAGGAATGATTACCAATTTACAAAAGTAGAAATGAATTACAACATTATTTTTTAGTATGATGTAATGGATGATTATTTTGATTCCAAAACGATTTTTGTTACGTTAATCCACCTATCCATTTACAGCAAGCATTCGAGTTATTTGTGTACGGAAATTTAAATTTATTTATTTAATTTTTAGTTTTAATACACCGTTAAGCTTGATAAGTACTGGCCGAAACATTGCCACCAGTTCCGGTCCAATTGGTGTGGACAAACTTGCCCTCCTGGCCCAATAACTCATAGGTGTGGGCTCCGAAATAATCACGTTGAGCCTGCAACAAATTGGCTGGCAAACGTTCCGAACGATAGCCATCATAGAAGGATAAAGCTGTGGATAAGGCAGGTACAGGAACACCCCATAAAAAGGCTTTAGATACCACCTGGCGCCATGAATTCTGACCAGTGGCAATGGCCTTCTTGAAGAAGGGATCCAACAGGAGATTTGTTAATTTGGGATCCTTTTCATAGGCCTCTTTAATGTTGCCCAAGAAGACACTGTAAAGAATGGGAATAGAACATAAATTGCATAACTAAATTCTCTTCTAAGTACTTACCTTCTAATAATACAACCACCTCTCCACATCAAGGCAATGCCACCATAATTCAAATTCCATTTACTGACATTGGCTGCCTCACGCATCAACATAAAACCTTGGGCATAGGAAACAATTTTGGCACAGTACAAGGCATGTTTTATGTCATTCAAAAACTCCTTGAGATTATCAACTTTGATGGGAGTATTTGGTCCACTCAATTGTTTGCTGGCCGCCACACGTTCATCCTTCAGAGCTGACAAGCATCTTGAAAACACCGCCTCACCAATTAGTGTCACCGGAATACCATATTGCAGCGCCGCTATGGCTGTCCATTTTCCAGTACCCTTCTGTCCGGCAGTATCACGAATACGTTCCAACAGATAACCCTTATCATCTTTATATTTCAAAATATCTGCTGTAATTTCAATAAGGAATGAATCCAATTCCTCACTATTCCATTTATCGAATTGTTGGGCAATTTCATCGGGTTTCAAACCCAAACTTGTCATTATGTGATAGGCTTCACAAATCAATTGCATATCGCCGTATTCGATGCCATTGTGAACCATTTTAACAAAGTGACCAGCACCACCTTCACCCACCCAATCGCAGCAGGGTTCATTGCCAGCCTTGGCGCAAATGGCCTGGAAGATGGGTTTTATTAAAGGCCATGCCTCCGGATGTCCACCGGGCATAAGTGAGGGTCCATAACGGGCACCTTCTTCGCCACCACTAACACCGGAGCCCACAAAAAGTATACCCTTTTGTTTTAGCTCATCACAACGACGTGCGGTATCCAAATATTCCGAATTGCCACCATCAATGATAACGTCTCCGGGTGAGAGCAGAGGTACAAGTTGTTGTATGAAACTGTCTACAGCTTGACCGGCTATATAAAGGAAGGAATTTACATTTTTTGTCAGTCAAGTGCCAGAGACAAAAATAGGAAAATGAATAGGATTTGAGATAATGGAACATAAAATGAAGAGTTGATATAGGAAGTATATGGATACTGATGATATGGAGGAAAATAATTATGTACGGTGATATCGGAACATAAAGAAATGCAAGAAATTGGAAATCTGAAGAAGAGAAGTTTAAAAATTAAAATTATTTGATTATGATATTTTCGAAATAATACAGTTTCCAAAGAGTTTCCTTTTCAATGAAATGACGGCTGTTTTGAGTTTAACGAGAATTAGAAAAAATCAAGAGAATATGGATTTACTGTAAAGCAAAATATTAGACTTGATCAAAACACCCGGATTCTATTATTATTTAAATGATAAAATGGGAGTTGAAATGGAAGTTTCAAAATCATTCAGGTGCAGTTAAGCCCCAATGTTAATCATTATCATGGGGAAAACCTTATAACAAATGGGGTTGAGCGTTAATTTGTATACCCACCCTCATCCGTTTGTAGCACATACAAATGTACATCGGAAACAGCAAAAGGTATATATATTCGACCATACAGCCCATATTTTTTAACGTAGAGGCTCGAAATTGAAATTTGACACAATAGTTTGTATTGTGTCTAGGATGATTGGCATTGAAAATAAGCTATACCGGGCCCAGTTTTCGTATAGCCCCATATAGTGGTACGGCCAGACAGTAGACCCCAAAATAAAATTCTCCGTCGATTTAACGATGTCCGTCTGTCTGTTGAAAGCACGATACAGCCCACATTATTTTACGTAGAGCCTCAACATTTGGCAGAACAATTTGTATTGAGTCTAGGATGATTGGTATTGAAAATGAGCCGCCGCCGCCATATAATTCGGTATTTTGATGATTTTCGCCACATTTTTTAACGGATTTGCCTAAAAATTGGCACATGTAAGTCATATTGAGTTCTAGCTCCGGTGGCAGAATATTGAATATTTAGGTCCATTTTGATCATTTTCGCCACATTTTTTCAGCGATTTGTCTAAAAATTGATACTTGTTGGTCATTATGGATTCTAGCTCCGGTGCCAGAACATTGAATATTTAGGTCCGCGTTTTTCTATAGCGCACATACAACGATACCCACCACAGGTATACGTCTTCGTATAGTCCCCATATAACGACACCTCCCGATATTCGGTATTTTGACAATTTTAGCGACATTATTAACCGAAATGGTTCCAAATTTCGTATTTGAAGTTCTTTGTAGGTACTATAGTCTATGACACTAAATTGTCTAAGCTGGTTCAGATCTTCGTATAAGTCCCAAATACAATATTCACAGGAATTGTTAAAAATTTCGTAGTTGAAGTTCGTAATAGCAAAAACCTCGCGTATGCATGTCCACGTCTTGGGATAGCCCCAATATAACGATACCTCCCAATATTCGCTATTGTGATGATTTTCGCCGAAATATTCAGTAGAATTGTTTCAAATTTCGTAATAGATACTACATCCTATGACATGGCTCCCATATAACGATACCTCCCGATATTCGGTATTTTGATGATTTTAGCAGCATTACCCACCGGAATTGTTTCAAATTCCGTATGTTAATTTCGGAATCGGTACTATAGTCTATGACCGAAAATTGTCCATGCAGGACCACGTCTTCGTATAGCCCCCATATAAGGGGTTTCATTTCAGAGGTATTTAAATTTCCTTCAAAATGGTGGAGGGTATTTACAGTTCGGCCCAGCCAAACATAGCTGCTTTTTTAAATGTTAATTTTTGTGGGCTTCACTTCTTTTTATGGCAAATCGTTTTGTTTTGACAAATCAGCTAAATACTTTCATGTTTATGCAGAGATTCCGTTTGTTTACTTTTCACAGTTTTTTGCAAAAGAGAGTAAAACTACCTTATTCTCTCAGAAGGAAGCTGCTCCACAATTCCTGGAGCAAAAGTAACCAGATAGATCTATCATTTTTTTTTTAATTAATTGAAAATTGCATTTGCTTTTAAACCCACTTAAAATTGTTGAGTATATTGTAATAATATAACAACAGAGGTAGATCAAACTTGGTCTCAAGATTTTGACTCTGATTTGTCCTATCTTTATACCTCTATGTCTTGGAATAGAATATAAATTCTAATTTCGAGATGTAATAGCAATTCCATCTTTAAAATCAAAATATTACTTTATACACCATTACAGCTTCCCCCCTTTCATTCGAACCAGATGATTATTGCTGCTCAAACAATGACGTTGCAATAAGCTAGAATCTGGCGTGACGTGTATAACGTCATATGGAACGACTCATTCATTGGGAACTTTGAAAGGCAAGTAAAAGAAACGCTTTTGCGACTACTTAACAATGTCAAATCAAAAGGTTAATAAAAATGTGTGTTGAGAAAGAGCGAGAGAACAAACCGCAATGTAATCAGAGGGAGAGCGTCTCGATAATGATATGCGTTTTGATAGGCACTCATATGCAGGTTCTATACGAATGTGTATGTGTAAAGTGCATATGAAATTCATATTGAATGAAGTGCTGACATTGATTTCTCTAAGTAAATAGAATAAAAACTTAAAAACTAAATCGAAATGTAAAAGTAATGACATTGCTATGATACCCAGTTTCATGCGTGATTTAAACACCACTCACCTTTCACCAACATCATGACTTTGCGTGGAGTTTTCAACTTGCTGACCATGTCAGCCAACGATGTAGCTCCAATGACCTTTGTGCCTTTAGCCTCATTTTGCAGGAATTGTTCAACCTGAAATCATGAGATTTTTTTTGTTAATACAAACCTATATGTGCATGTATTTCAAATCCGCCAACATTACCTTATCCACAGTACGATTGTAGGCACAGACAACGAAACCCTTTGAATCCATATTCAATATTAGATTTTGACCCATGACGGCCAAGCCGATCAAGGCAATATCAGCTTTTCTGTAAAATAAAAATCAATTGTTAATGGCATTTAATTGCAAAAAAAAAAAACGAGGCACTGAGACAAGGCGGGAAGAAGAAAGGAGGTCAATTATACAGCAGTTTAACAAAAATCTAATGTCTTTTATTTTTACTTCATTATCATTTATAAATCGTGCTATGCCCTTGTTGTTGTAATTTTTGTGTTACTGTCATAATTGACCTTGACTTTCATTTTTTGCCGATTAATGGCATTAATTGTTGCTAAGATTTAAGATTTAACACAGATTTTATGTTTCATTCAGCTTTACTTACTGTGACATATTTATTTGGCTGTTGCTGCTGGTGGTGGTAACCGAACAAAAAATTTTATTAATATTTTTTTAAACTAATTATTTCTTCTTTGTACTTTTTCTTTTTGTTAGTCAGCTTTCTCCCAGCTATCCGCTTTATGGTGTGTTTTAGTCGGCGATCGCGCGATCACTAAGCCAACAAAGTGGTTTGTTTATTGTAATGGTTTTTGCAAAAATATAAAGGAACGAGTAAAAAAGCGCTAAATTCGGCCAGGTCGAACTTTTAATACCCTTCACCACGTGGCAAAGGCAAACTTTAAAAATATAAAGAGATTTAATATTTAAATGGCACTTTATTCACTTTTAAATAACTGCAAACAAAATTCATTTATTATACCCTCCACCATATGACTCCTCGAAATACTCATGTCAGACCCAACAGAGTATATATATTCTTGATCAGCGTAAAATTCTAAGTTGATTTAGTGACGTCCGTCTGTGGGTCTGTCCGTAAGTCTGTCTGTTGTAATCACGCTATCTTTCGAACGAATTGAGATAGAAGGCTAAAATCTTGAACACATGTTTATTTTGCCAGTAGGACAGGTTAAGTTCGCAAATGGGCCATGTCGGTCCACATTTTCATATAACCCCCATGTATCGGTACCTCCCGGTATTCGGTATTTTGATGATTTCAGCAACATTATTTACCGGAATCGTTTAAAATTTCGTATTGGAAGATCCAAATGGGTACTACAAGCTATGGAAAATTTTTTTTGAATGCAGGTCCACGTCTTCGTATAGCCCTCATATAAGGGCACCTCCCGATATTTGGTATTTTGATAATTTTAGCCACATTTTTCAATGAAATTGTCTGAAAATAAACAAAAGAAGTTCTCTTTGTTTACTTTATCCTCTGGAAGAGAATTGCATAGGCCCACGATATCGTATAGCCCCCTTACAACGGTATTTTGATGATTGTAGCCAAATTTTTCAATAAAATTGTCTGAAAATCTGCATAAGGATTTTCTTCTGAGTACTTCATATCCTGGAAGAGAATTGTCTACCTAAGTCTAAGATATCGTATAGCCCCCTTACAACGATACCTCCCGATATTCGGTATTTTGATGATTGTAGCCAAATTTTTCAAAAAAAAAATTTCTGAAAATCCACATAAGGATTTCCTTCTGAGTACTTCATACCCTGGAAGATTATTGTCTATATAGGTCCGGGATATCGTATATTCCCAATATAACGGTACCTCCCTATATTCGGTATTTTGATGATTTTAGCAAAATTTTTCTATAGATGTCTAAAAATCTATACTAGAAGTTCTTTCCAAGCACTTTACTCCCTGGAAGAGAAATATCTATATAGGTCCATGATATCGTGTAGCCCACATACAACGCTACCCCCCGATATTCGATATTTAGCGATTTTAGGAACGTTATTCACCGGAGTTGTTTCAAATTTCGTACCTACAATTCGTAATGGGTACTATAGCCTATGACAAAAAATTGGTTATGCAGGTCCACGACTTCGTATAGCCCCATATAATGGTACCTCCCGATTTTAGCCACATTTAAGGTTCGTAATGGATACTACAGCCTATGACAGAAAATTGTCTATGCAGGTCCAGGCCTTCGTACAGGCCCATACTTTTCCGGCAATACTTACTAAGTGGGAAAATACTTAGAACATACTCTCTCTCCCTCTCTCTCTCTCTCTCTGGAGAAAAAACTCGCAAAACTAAGATAACAGCTGACCCATCAAAACCACTTTAGTGCAAATCTTAACACCAGAATTATTTTAATGCAGTTTATTTGTGTTTTCATTGTTATAACAAAAAGAAAATAATAATAATATGGATTATATTTCAATTTCAACAAATATGCATTTTTGGAGATGTTACAAATTAAATGACAATTCTAATATATCCCCTTCTATGATGTAGAGTATAAGGAAAACTTAATCTCTCTTCTTCACATGTGCTTTGCTTTTTTAAAGCTTTACTCAGCAAATAAACTTGTTCGCAAAGCACTTATGTTGTTGTTGTCTTTGTTGGTTTTAATTTTGCAGAGATGGAAACAACGATATTCCCATTTCATTAAAAATTTTATCCTCCAGCATTGTAGACTCTACAATGTAAAATGTAGAGACTGGTTGAAAACAATTGGGAATAATAGATCTGGATGCATAAACAAGCAAAAGAGAATCCAGAAAATAGAAAATAAAATTATGTAGCGAAAAATATGATATGGAGACAATAATGGTCAAATATAAGTATTCGATCAATTTAATAAGCCTCCGCAAGGAAAATAATTCATGTCCCAATGTGAAGGGTAAATTTTTAAGAACTATAGAAAAAATGCTATCGTTAGAGCACTTTAGCATTTAAATGTGAATAACTCGTTTGTGTCTCGTACCATCGCTCGTTACCGTGATGCTGGTAGTGTAGCCCGTCGTCAAGGGAGTGGACGGAGAAAAACAGCAACATCAGCAGAAATGCTTCGAAAAATGCCTCGTGAGGTGAACATATCGCAATATTCCATTCGGCAAATATTGAAAAATGTGCTCGGGGTAAAGCCATTGAAATCCAAAAAGTGCAAGTACTAATACCGCAACGGAAGAAAAATAGACTCAAAAGAGCTAAAGAGTTACTTCGCTTGGCCGAAAGTGGTGCACTGCCGAATTTGGATTTCTTCGATGAGAAAACATTCGGTGTCCAGCAGTTTGTAAACAAACAAAATGATCGTGTTTACTTGCCAAAGAGGTCAGCTGAAAATTTGCTCCTTCGGTTGGCCACCAGAACTCAAGCGCCAGCCATGCTGATGGTGAGGGCCGCCATAACGGCCGACGGTCGGTCACCGCTCATATTAATCGACCGTGGCATCAGAATAAATACCGAATATTATCGTGAAAATATTCTGGAGGGTGTATTAAAGCCTTGGGCGCGCAAACATTTCGGCCGCAGACCTTGGACATTCCAACAGGACTCAGCACCATCGCACTCAGCACGCGCCACCCATTGACCGTTTGAAGGTCATAATTCGTGCCAAAGGTAACCAATTCGATCAAATCTAAACTCTTTCTAAAATTTGATGATATTTCCGACATTTGTTGCTTTCATTCAATAAAATTTAAAATAAAATGTGAAAATTATGGCGTTTGACTTTGTTGAAGTTTTTTTTTTCACCCTGTATATATGGACCATGTCGGTCGATTTTTTTCGGTTTTTTAAGAGACTAAATAAACTCCTTGAGGGTTAACATTTTCACCAAAATAATCCTCGTATTATTAACTGTTATATTGCCGAAAACACTGTATACCTAAAATGTAAGGATTCCCAGGATTCTTAATCCGAAAATTCCCAAAGCGGGGGAATACTTTCAAAATGCCGTTCTACTTTCTAATTCAAAAAATTCAATTTTGTCGCACATTTTCTTTTTTTTTTTTTAATAGTCTCTCAAAAATGTCCTTACAAATACACGATTATTGGTTTGTAAGTTCCTCAAAAACAATTCATAAAAAGTCCTCGTCTATCAGGGCTCTGAAAATCCCTTTTGAAACATATTTGAAAATTCAACGTTCTTAGCTCTGATAGTTCTCTAAAAATATCACAAAAATCTATGAATATTTTCCCAAACATTTTTATACCCTACAACACTATATTATAAGTTTGATTGGGCCAGAATTTATGTAACACCTCGAAATATTGATTTCCCATATAGGAAAGTATATATGGATCTTCCTAGCTCGCCGAGCTGAGTCGATCTAGCTATGTATGTCCGTCCGTCCGTCCGTCCGTCTGTCCGTCTGTCCATGTTAATTTGTAATCACTCTACAGGTCGCAACTATGGCCCGATCTTCACGAAATTTAAAATGTAGGCGGGGTTAATGTCAGAATAGAACCCTATTTCTTTTGGAGATTATCGCCAAATGTTTAGGGGTTGAAATGGACCAAATACTGAAAAAAGTCGGATTTTGCAGTAGCTATACAGGTCGCAATTATAGACCAATCGACGCGGAATTTCGTATGTAGCTAGAGTTTAGGGCGGGGAAGAAGCCTACCAATTAGGGTGGTCATCGGATAATATTTAGCGGGTAAAATAGACCATATCTTTTGTGTTGAAAAAATTCAACACTTTTCATTAAACCGCGAATATTTTAAATCCCGGCGAAATCACGAAGCCATGACAAGGTTACTTCTGACCTTTACATTGATGTTAACATCCAACAAATCGGATACATAGCAAAATATGTGCGATATTTATGTCTATCAAAGAAGATATGCTTGAAAGATCTCTTATATGTCGAGAACGGCTGAACTGATTTCGACAGTTCTCATTAATTCAGAATGGCCTCTTGGCAGGAAAGAAACTACGTCTAAAAAATCGCATAAAAATATCTATCTAAAGATGAAAATATTGATTTTGTAAAATTTTCTCATATTTTTTTCAATTTTGTCACATTTTTGGCATATTTTCATTTTGAATTAAACATTTGGTAATATTTCTATAGCTACGAAACTAAGTAGTTAGGATATCAGGATATCATATACAGATCGCATTTATGGCCCGATCCTAACAAAATTTTGCATGGGGATCAGATGAGGGTCAGAATAGAAGCCTTCTCTTTTTGGAGATGATCGCCATATATTTAGGGGTTGAAACGGACCAAAAAACTGCAAAATTGTCAGCAGGTCGTAATTATTGCCCGATCTTCACGCACATTGCAAAAGCCAAGCAGTTTTGGATGGCCATCCAAAAATATTCAATGTGTGAAATAGTTTGCCAACTTTTGTAGACAAAATACGAAAATTACCATTCCAGTGACTTTTTGGAGAATTCACAAATACAGGAAAGACGCACTTCTCACTATTTCGTTAACGCTGATTTCGTTCAAGAATATAGTCAAATGTCTGTATCTCATATAGATGCGTTTCAGTCAAAAACCAATAATAAATGTTAATCTTTTGCCACTTCTGAGAGAATATAGGTCTTTGGGAAATATTGGTTCCAGATCTAGGAAGACCATTTACGTGCAACATCTTCCA